CTTTATCTTAGAGACTTAAACCATGCATCAACTAGTTTAATCACACTTAGAATCAAGTAATTAAATCCTCTGAAAAGTCCCCACAATCCATTAGAAGCATCCCAAGGCTCAAACAGTGTCCAGAATACCAAACAGTGCCTTAAAAACTAAAAATAAATAAAAATTAATCGTATATTGCAAAGGGAGCCTGCTCCAAATTTTGGGAGCAGGCTCTTTCAGCCTAGAGCCGGTTCTAGGAGTCCTTAGAGCCGGCTCTACTTGTTGTGGGAGCCGGCTCCCACATCCATGGAGCCGGCTCTTACCTCATTTGAGAGCCTCTGTCCCCGTTGTTTCGTTTCAGTCCATCTGCTCCTTCTCTGATCAATTCCTCTCACTCTGTTGGTTTCTAAAATAGATTTTAAGCATCTTATTAACACCCATGAGCATCCCAAAGGTTTGATAGCAACCATTAGAATCAATTACAGAGGTTAAATTGGCTACCGAACTAACACGCGTTAGGAACAAATCTGCAACTATTTTGCAATAACAGTTCTAGTCCAACCCCTCTGTTCCTCTTCACTACTGATCTTTAGAGTCCTATAACACCCCATAATCATCCCCATGATTTATTTACAGAGGTTAAAAACAATTACAGAAACTAAAATTACTAACAACAAAACATGCTTAAACAGAGAACTGAAACAAGACTTGCAAACATTTAATTGAATTTATTTTAACACGCAGAGATCATCAATATTTTATATGGTAAGCATTTAAGTTCTGATTTAACAATTAATTAAACCCTATAGATTATCTAGGTGCACAGAACACAAGCCAGATGGAAGGAGGAAGAGAAGAACTTACTTGTAGTTTTAGACTCAAAACTTGTCGCCGTCGTCCTAACTTCCGGCAACCACTGCAACACTATCTAGCCTCCTATTACTTCTGTTCTTCCCTTTTCCTAAGACAAATCTTGAAGCCTCGGTAGGAAACCTCACAAACTTACTCTTCTCTCTCAAAGCCTCACTCTGTAACTCTTTGTTTTTATGTTACGTGAGTCGGGGTTTTCCAACCCTTAATACAGATACAACTATGTATAAATAGGCGTAAAAATCCTAAACCCTAAGCTTTGTTTAATTAAAGCCAGAGCCCTAATGTAAAACTCTAGTCAGTCGGCCCATATAGCAATCTAGGTTATAAGATACTCGACTACATACGCGTAACCTCTTAGGGAACTCTACTGTTTAAAATTAGACCAGTTAGTAATTTATTTTAATACAGTAACTAATACTAATTTAATCTATAATTTAATCTAATTAAAATATTTAAATAAACCAATTTACACATTAGAATGACCAACTAATCCAATTACAGAAAATACACATATAACTAAATACACAACCCAATTAAAGAAAATAAGAAACAATTAACGAAAATAAAATTCATAATTAAACAATTAAAACACTTAAACAATAAATGCAAATTAAATACATGTCACGTAGGTAAACAATTAAATAAAATTAATAAATAAAAATAATTAAACCAAATAATAACGCAAAAATACAATAAAAATAATAAATAAATGCCGAGACTATCCTTTTAAAATTAGGGGTATTACAACCGTCCCATACCGGTGCATAGACATCCACATAAGTAAGACTTAACCTTTTATAGTTAATTCAACTCATTCCAAAATAGGTAGGATTTAGTGTTTTACTAATCCATCCCTGGTATGCCACCGTCCCATACTGGTGCACACAATCCTCCAAACAATATAATTATAAAGACAATAATTGTTATCTATCAACCATTATCCAGAATATACATAAATACAGTTTAATACATATAACATGACATTAGACATTAATTACAGAACCTAAACATCACATTCCAGCCATTTAAATTGCTAATATAAGTCATAGCATTTAAATCCTCCATTTATCATAGTTGACCAAAAACAGTATAAACAGTTATCAACTATATTCCAAAATAAGCACAAATATAATTTCACATGTGTAAAACTAAATCATGCATCCACTAATAGAGTTAAAATCCAAATCCCAGTCCTTTAAATTTGTAAAATAAGATTACACAATCTACCTCTCCAAACAGTGCCACATTGATACAATGTATAACAGATTTAAGCACCAGTTAATTCCATTTAAGCATACACATATTTAAATTACTATATGCTTACAACACAGCTGAAAATATGATTCTCAATTTAAGATTTCTCAGAGACATCAAAACTTCAAAAACAATAAGTAACAGAAGCATTCACATTCTCTGACTCGTCCCTAAACTGCTGCAGTTGATTTACAAGATGACTATTAATTTAGTCCAACCGAAGCATGGTTAAATTCACGTAATCCATATTACTTATATTCCTAGTTAAACATGATTAATCAAAATTAAATCACATATAAATAATCCTCCAAGTTCCAGAGTTTAAACTAATCAATATTCAAGGTGCAACCTGTAGATTCTTTCCCTAACTGTACATTGCCTCCTCCTTGATCCCTTTATGAATTCTTATTAAACATGTTCTTACAGGTCTAAAACAATAATATACCTCATTTGAAACACTTTAAACAAAGTACACAAACTCTGTATAGCCCAAACAGTCCCTAAACCATCCAAACAGTCCCTAAAACTAACCTCAGAGAAGCTTAAGGAGAGGCAGGCTTTCCCAAAATTAGGAGTCTGCTCCACTTTGCCTAGAGCCGGCTCTACTACCCTTAGAGTCGGCTCCAATACATCTAGAGCTAGCTCCCCCATTTGGGAGCCGATTCTAAGTCCTTTGGGAGCCTTCTCTCCCTCCCTTAGCAGCCGTTGTCCCTTCCAGTTTTCTTCCTCACCTCCGACACCACTTACAGTCTCTGCATTAAGTTTAATTACATGTTTTAAGGTCCCATCCTAGTCCCATATTAATTTTGAAGCAGTATAATCCAACCGTGACAGGAACTATAACCCAAGTTTTAAGCATCGACAGTAAGACACACAGGTTTAAGTTTTAAAACAACAGAGACCAGATTGATTCCATAAAATCACATAATGATTTCACATGCATAAAAGATGTATTTAAACTTTAGTTTAATCCCTGAAGTCTATCTAAGCAGGCACAGAACACAGATTCCTGGGAAAGAGAAGATCATAAACTTGCCTTTGAAACTCAAACTTGTAAAGCTAATTCCACGTCTCTGAGTGTTAAACCACCCTTGCTGCTCCTACTGCAGTCCAGTAACACACACCAAACTTCCCTCCTTGATTCTGTTTTGTGAACCACCCAAACTCCCACTCCGGTTCTCTCTGTATCTCTCTGGTTTTCACTACCAATTTAGGGCTCTGTTTGTGGTTTACAGAACGTACGTTTATTCTGTTCTCCAAACCCTAAACCATGTATTGCTTTATATTTATAGGTGTATATTAATACCCTAGTCCACGAATAATTAGAGACTAAGCCCTAATCCCCATCCTAATCGGTCCATGAAACTATCTTAGTTATAACCTACGGCGGCTCATCTATACGTGAAATATAAGCCAAAAATTATAACTAAAACCCTAAGTTACCATACAGAAAATAAATAAACATTACATTAACTAAATAAGACAATTAAATAAATTCAAATAATATAATTAAAACAATCTCAATTAACATGTAAATTAAATACACACAAACATTAATTAAATCAATTAAGCAAACAAAATTAATCACTTAAAAACAACTTAGTCACATAACTTAATCAATTAATCAATGAAAAATTAAATTAAATTTCCAATTCTATCATTTTGAAAATTAGGGGTATTACACATATATACCCATATATACATGTATAAGCATCCATGGGTATTAACTGTACCCATTTAATCCATATCATCCAATCCCATCCTAAATAAAATTAAACACTTTGATTTAAACAATTAACTTAAACATTTAATTCAAGTCACCTATCTAATAATTTCAATTAAACAAAAAGGCAAGTTAAACAAATAAATTAATTTAAACCATTAATGAACATCCACATAAGCATATAATGCAATTAAAACAAAGAATTCAATTAGGCAAATAAACAATTAAACAATTAGACAAATAATCAACTAATCAAATAAAAAAAATGTAATAAAATAATAAAATAAATACCGAGACTATCCTTTTAAAATTAGGGGTATTACAGCTTTCCACCACCACCACCACCTACCACCGCCACTACCACCATTTTTTTTTTAAAAAAATGTTGTAAAAGAATGTCATTTTGTTAATTTAATTTATTTTTTACTAACACGGATATTTTGGAGAACTCAATTTGAAATTTATTCTATTCTAAATTTAAAATTGGTCAAATCAAACACTAGAATAATTATTATCATTCTATTTCTACACATTTCATATTTACAACAAAATAATAGAATGAGAATGGTCATTTTATTCCCACTTACATTTTATTTTTGTACACCAAACGCAACATAAAAGATTAAGAAAAATGCTTAATATGGAAAGGTGAATTTAGTAACAAATGAATAGGTGATGAAAAAGAGAGGAAGGAGACCTTCCTTAAGAAACCTCTTGTAATTTCTTTATGTTTTTTATTGAGCGAAAGGGAGAAAAGTCACAGTAAAATTGTCTGTAATTAAAAGTTAATGCAAGAACTCACTTAATAACATTATTTTTAAAATTAATACAAAAAGGCTTGACTTATTTAGGTATAAAATGTTTTTCAAAAACAAAAAAAAAATATATTTCTTATAACTTGTAAAAAATTAATTTATAATTTACTTTTGTTACGTTTTGAAATATATATAGTATATATTTTTCGTAAACAGAAATCCAAAAACACGCAAAACATCGAAGAAAGCTTCTATCGAGCGGTTAGGGAGAGAGACCAATTGGTGGTGACTTGAGCTCCATGCATTATTGGAAAACTGACCCTAAAAATAGCAGGTCCAACCTCCGAGTTTACGAGTCCACTCAGCCAATTTCGCATGTACACTGTACTGTATACATAAATAAATAAACAAATGGTCTCCACACACCACACTCTCTTTTACCCCCAAATGCTGCTGTGCGTTCGCAACTAAACACAGCCTCCTGTCTCTTGGATTTTGGAATTGAGAGTTGAAGAAAGATGGGGACGTTGGGTAGAGCAATCTACTCCGTCGGATTCTGGATCCGCGAAACTGGCCAAGCCCTCGATCGCCTTGGCTGTCGCCTCCAAGGCAACTACTACTTCCAAGAACATCGTACGCTCTCCTCTCTCTCTCTGTCTCTGGCTTCTATGGATCTTCACAACATTACTCATACATGTTGAGCCCTAGAAATTCAATATTTATTTTGTAATTCATCACTTCTCACTCTAAATTGTTATCTATTCAATGTTCACCAAACACTTTAGGGTTGACCAATTGACTCTTCTTGCATATAGAAAAACAAAAATCAGTGAACGAAACTGTACATTCATGTCATTGTGTTTGATAGAATCTGACATTCTCCTGCTTCATCTCGTCAACTTTAAGCTCTTTCTCATGAATGTGATATATGTGTTTGTGCGCGTTGCTTTTGGAATATTAAGCACGTGTTATATATTTATTTTGCGAAGCTAATAATGGTTCGTGAAAATAGAAAATTTTGGATTTGGAATTGGAATTGAGCCTAACCTAATTGTAATTAGAATCATAGGGAAAAGAGGAGTGTGCATGAGTGCATTTATATATTATCTTATTTTCTTTTGTTTTTAGCTTAATTTTCTGCAGAACTGAGTGGAAAATTCAAAATAGCTGTACATCAGAGTTACAAGTTGGACAGAGTTCAAACACGATTGCCGTTGGTGAATGTTTTATTTTTCAGAATGCCTAGATAGGTTGTAGGAAAGTTTGAACTTTGGACTAATAGTGTAGCTAACGGTGCAATAATAGTGTTTTGTTTGGTCTCCTAAAAATAAGGATGAATCTGAAGATGCGTGCTAGGAGAAATGATCCTACATTATTTAGAGTGAATCTCGCAATCTCATAATATGTTCAGTGATAATTTTAGTATTAAATCTGGCATTTGAGATTCTGGCAAGGTAAGCTGACTTTGAAGTCCTCCTGTTGTGAATAATACTCGGCGGATTAATTTTGTTATGATGCCAAACTTGTTTCCATTTTTAGTGATGGACGAGTAGTGTATCTCACCTATAATGAAATCGACACTCTTGGTGTTTGCCATCATTTGAAAAACATATTTGAATTTGTATATGCAATTTGATTGTTTGTTGAATTTCAGTTTGTTTCAATTTTATGGTTGGACCTTTTATATACCATATTGGAATCCATTTTGAAATATTATCCTTCTAAATCATATTATTAGTTTGAATTTCAGTTTATTTCTTTATTATCTTTTGAACTTTTTATTTTTATTTTTTATAAGTGACTTTTTATACACTGTTCTGTGAATCCCTTTAAAAATATCATACTTATGACATATTTTTTCCCCCTTTCCCTTTAATATCCTTAAGTGTCTAGGCATCGGACACTCATGAACGTATGTGACAAAGCTCCTGTGGTTGATAAGGAAGCATTTGTGGCCCCTAGTGCTTCTATTGTTGGGGATGTTCGGGTTGGACGAGGTTCCTCTATTTGGTATGGATGTGTTTTAAGAGGTAAGCTGCACCACAAGTTAAATTTGAATTTTTTGTTTTCATGTTATTATTATTATTTTCTTTGGGTAAATTTTTTGTTCTCATGTTTTGTAATGCACGTTCGGCCCATAAGTGACCCTTAGGATGAATTAAAATAAATAATGGAACCTCCAGTTACAAATTTGCATTTAATATCTCTGTGTTTTTACTGATTATGTACTTGTTATCATTGTGCTGTAGAACATGTGATGGTTTCTTGAAATTTGGGCTAGGTATGGCATTCTAACTACATAGGCATTAAGATTCTAAAATTAATATGTTTGGTTTGGAATCTGAAACCCTAAGTTTTAAATTAAGGGTCAATCATGCAAATGAAATGGGGATGGGCTTTCTTTTGTCGTTGAGAGGAAATGGGAGTTATGGACATGGTGATCATAAGGATTGGATTCAAGATATTAAAGATATCTTCATTCATACTCTTCAAATGTTGTTTTTCTTGGTAGCCTTGATTGATTATAATATTATTTTTCCAAGCTCTTTGGTGCATACTTAACTTGCCTCATAACCTTCTACACATTTGAAATATCTGTATGTTTATTTATTGAAAGAAGCTTGCAGCCACCTGCTGATAGTAGGCATCTATGGTCATCCTTCTGTTGCTTTAAAGAGCTTAGTGTGGTCCTTCAAGTAGTTAATTGCTTTCATTGAGTCCCATCCAAAGATTTAAATTGTCATGTGAGCGTTTAATTTAGCAAAAAGGAGTTGCCCAAGCCCATCTAAAGATCGGGTCAGACTCGGGTTTGCCCAACCGAGTTGCACCTATAACAATATCTGGGACTGATTGGATGTATACATTGATGTCAAACATTCGGGAGTCTTATACCTTTTTTTTTTTTTTTTTTTCCTTCCTTCAAATAGAAAACTCAATTTTCTTTTTTACTTTCACTACTTCTTGGATACAATTTCCGGTGTGAAAGACTGAAAGCAATATAAACTTGGCCTCGTCTACACAGAATATGTTGCAATTCAATTTTATAAGCACACCCTCCCATCCTGTTATATCTCAGGTGATGATATTCTTCTATGAATACCGGGATCCTGTCATTTTGCTTGTTTGACTTCCTGCAGTTGGGGTTAGCAAGGCTGTGCTGTTCATGTTCTGTTATTATTATTACTATTTTTCCTTCCATGATAACCCCTTCCTGAGGCCACTCTCTGAGTGTTTTCATTGATGAGATGGTTCATAGGCCTGGAGGAAATCTGGTTCCCATTTTTATCATTGTAGCTTTTATAATATTCATGTAGTGACCCTTCAAAGTGAGAAAGGAGCTGGCGGCAAAATTAGATAGAGGACCTTGAGCTATACCTAGGAGGATGGATTGAGAGATGAAATTATCCAAAATGGTACTGTACTTTATTTATGGAAATGAGAAAAGGAATTCTGGTATCACAATCCACAATTTTAATCAAATAAATGTCTGACATGTATTACGGCAAATTTCTGTTTGGATTTTTGGAGTCAGTGGATGAGCAAATTAGTAATTTTTGCAAAATGGATGTTGTTGCACAAAATTTGATAAAATTAGGCATTTATTTTTATAAACTTAGGAATTAGTTGTAAAAATTTAAAATAAAATGAGTAATGAGAGAAAATTGGTAAGATGGTTTGGACATGTGCAAAGAAACCTTTAAGCTCACTAGTTTGGAAAAGTGACATAGTCCACAATGAGAGTAATACTAGGGGAAAAGGAAAACCAAAGTTAGTTTTTGTAGAGTTAGTAAGGAAGGATTTGATAGCATGTTTATTGATTGTGGCTATGGCCTTAAATAGAGCGCAATGGATATATATGATTCATGTAGCCGACCCCAAGTAGTTGGGAAGAAGGCTTAGTTGTTGTTATTGTTGTTGTTGTACTATGATGGTGAGTTTTATAATAGGGTCAAGTGCAAAAAACACCCTTATAGTATGCATGCAGTGCATATTGTACCCTCCTGTGCAAAAAACACCCCTAAACTATGACATTTGTGCAAATAGGTCCTATTTATAAAAGTTGGACTAAAATGCCCTTAGCAACACATTTTATAATATATATAAAAAATACATATTTTGTGAAATGACTAAAAAGGGTTTGGTCCTTCTTCTTCATCATCTTTGTGGTTGTCAAGACCCACTTCGGTGACGACGTGCCTAGTTCAATTGTCCATTAAAACCGGTGAGCTACGACGGTGAGCTTCCATTTCGTTGAGATATAGTCTGGTGAGCTATGAGACTGTTCCGGTGGGCTAGGAGAATTGTTGGCTCTAGTTCAGCTTCATGCAGCAGCTTGGGGTCCCTACCGTTGGGTAGTTGATGCTCAGTCTCTGAACAACAGCTTCCTGAGGACGGTGAGATCCATCTCCGGCAGGCTTCCTTCTATTCAGATTTCAGACCAACTTGCAGCGATGAACCAAGAGACCGAGAAGCTCAAGGCAAACCCAGTAGGCGTCATCATTGCGTGTGCTTTATCAAGCACCCAGCACTATCCTTCCAATATACAAAAACTAACCGCAAATTAATCAACTAAGCTTATAACAATATAGCGTATATCTATGCATATATAATGATAAGTGGGAAAAACAGTGGAACATATCCACAGCTTCTTCAACAGTATTCATAGTCACGAATGCAAACCCACGACTCCGATCAGTTCCCTATTGTAAATAACCTTAAAAAAAAAAAAAAAAAAAAAAAAAAAAAAAAAAATCCCTAATATAAAAAATCCCTTCAAAACCCAAAAGGGACAAATTTTCACAATCAAATGCAAAGATCATTACCTCTGCAATCTCAACAACACCCACCTGATTGAAAATCTCAGCCAATTTCTCACCATCAACATCATATGGCAAGTTCCCAACGAAGACCTTTGCCTTTTCATGTGACTCCACAAACTCTTCTTCTCCGCCACTCTCTGTGGCGTCCCCAACTGCCTCCACCACTGCCCCTGCTTCATCTTCGCTTCCGCCTTCCCAATCGCCACTCTCACCCACGTAACTGTTTTCCCAGCTGACCTCTGCTTCTTCAATGACGGCTGTTTTGTCATCCTGAGCCCAGCCGGAGGTTTCGGGGACGAAGGCGACCACGTTTAGGAACCAGGTCTTCTGTACGAGAGAGAAAGATGAAGGTAGTGAAGGGGAGTGAGCGGAAGCAAGAAAAAACACACACAGGAAGAAGGAGGAGGTGGTTTGGTAGAGGTATTTTTGGAAGAGTAAAAGGGTAAAATGGGTATTATATTAATTGAGGGGTGTTTTCGCACAAATTGAAAAGAATAGGGGTGTTGTTTGCACACCTTTTTAAATAAGGGGTAAAAGTGCTATAAAATGTATACTTCAAGGGTGTTTTTTGCACTTACCCCTTTTATAATACTGGTGGCTATTGGTAGTGACTGCTGTATATGGATGTAAGAGGAGACTGCTGAAGTACTAATTATTGGCTGTTGCTGGATTATGTGGTAGTGGCAAAACCATGTAGGCGATGTGGCAGTGGTTCAAAAAGGTGATAGGGATGGTGGCTTACAAAGTGTTGGAGAAGGTGAGAGGGAATATGTTAAATAAGGGAGGTGGTGGTGAATCTACTGGTGATGAGGGGCATTGGTGGCATGAGGGGAGATAGAATTGCTTGTGGATATTTATGGAGGTGCCTAGAGAAGAGATTTGTTCAAGGGGAGTGGTGGTTTTATGAACTGTATGCTGTAACATTGTAGACCATTTATTAGATGAATTGTGCTTGTGGGCCTTGTGGCCATGGAAAGGAAGCAAAGAGGTAGCTGTGGCATACTGCATTTTTTAGAGCATTTATGTTCTCCTTTGCCCTCTTTAGCGATAACTAGAAGTAAAAGAAGAGGAAGAAGAAGATTATAGTGACTGGATGCTGCAGCTGATATTTGCATATTTTTATTATTGTTTTTGCAAACTGCAAAAGTTGGCATAAGTCCATGAGTTAATGATTACTCAGTTTTCATATTTTGTTGTGATTGATGTTATCGTCATCATGATTATCATTTTAAAAAGTTTTCGATTTGATGTTATCCAGAAGTTAATAATGGTTTTTTTTTTTTTTTTTTTTTTTTTTTTGGAGCTAGTCATATGCAGTTCACAAGTTTGTATATTTATTTTATTTTTCCCAGCTGATTGCAAACGATACCCCTCCCAATCCTCCCCTCCTTTGTCCTCCTCTCCCTCATCACCGCTGTTAGAAAAAGATAAGAAAAAGCTCCCTCTCTCAAAATTTATAAAGAATTAACCCAGTTCAACTCAAAAAAGCATTGGCTACATGTATTATGTTCCACCATTCTGCGCTTTTTAAGGGCATAAGCTCGGATAAACCGCACGCTATCCAATATTTTCTAAGAATGAATAAATAAATAAATATTTCTAGCTGTGTGCAAGGGCACACACATGTTCGATGCTATTGTTTCTTGTCTGAATGTGAATACTTCTGTGCAGGTGATGTGAACAACATCAGTATCGGATCTGGAACAAATATACAAGACAACTCTCTTGTTCATGTAGCTAAATCTAATCTAGCAGGAAAGGTTTTGCCAACTATTATCGGCGACAATGTTACTGTGGGTGTGTGACACTCTATCAAGTTTTATTTATTTATTTGTATATATATATTTTTACCTATCAGGCATCTTGAATTTTACAATGTCCAATTTTGACTTGACAGGCCATAGTGCTGTCTTGCATGGATGTACTGTTGAGGATGAGGCATTTGTTGGTATGGGTGCAACTTTGCTTGATGGGGTTTTTGTTGAGAAGCATGGCATGGTTGCTGCTGGAGCCCTTGTGAGGCAAAATACAAGGGTACCCTGTGGAGAGGTTTGTATATTCTAATGGCTTTTGGGTAATTGGGTGTTAATTACATTCCTCTGGAATGTTGGAGATCACATAACAAATCATTCTAAATCTTTTGCAATGAAATCATTGTGAAATTCATGATTTCAATGTGTTCAATAGAGTAATTCTACTCCTATACTATGCTAATTGCATTAGTGCCACAGCAAGGTTGGGTCTCTTGCTTCCCCTGTTTTCTGGCCAAATATGGTTCTGCAAGCCGTGGGAATGCCAGAAGGTGTTGACTGGATGTATTGAAGTGATGATGCACAAAGATTTCAGTCCAGGGGCTTCATCCTCCTGGTCCCTCTGGTCATTTATTCTTTGAAAGTGTCTTGGTTAGAAATTGCCATGTTGCCATAGCTAAACATCTCTCTATGTATTGGGGATTCTAGTTTAATAATGCTTTCATAGACTCGGAGTCTAGGTCTCAAAAGTATCTTGACAGCTGCTGCTTCTATTCACCTACAGTTGAGTTGCGCATTCCTGTTTGTTTGAGGAATTAATTCCATTGTTATCTTCTGCCATACCAAATGGTGGCATAGAGAACCATATTTTTGACTCTAATCACATCTCCTCATCCTTCAACGTGGGAGGTTGAGGATTCGAGCTCCTTTGAGGCATTAGTGGGTCTATGAGTGTTGGGCGTGTTTCTTACCTACCAAATAAATAAATAAAGTTGTAGGTGAAAGTTAATATTCCCTGGTCCAGGCCAGGGAGGTGACTCTACAACGATTTGAGACCGACTACTTACTGAAAATGAAATTTTTAAGTATTTCTATGACTTGAGATGGGCAAATGAACAAAATTTAGTTGACTAATACGTAATTTTTGAAAAGGTTTGGGGAGGTAACCCAGCAAAGTTCCTGAGGAAGCTCACAGAAGAAGAGATAGCCTTCATCTCCCAGTCAGCTTTGAATTATACCAACTTAGCACAGGTTCATGCAGCCGAAAATGCAAAGGGCTTTGATGAGATTGAGTTCGAGAAGGTGCTCCGCAAGAAGTTTGCCCGCCGGGACGAGGACTATGATTCTATGTTGGGTGTTGTTCGTGAAACACCTCCGGAGCTTATCCTTCCTGATAATATTCTTCCAGATAAAACACCAAAGGCTTCTTAAAGTGAGAATACCTCTTGGAATTTGATGGTGATGGGTATTTTGTCGTTGCATTCAAATTTATGGTTGATGCTTTTCATTTCTAATAATTTTTGAGGCTATGCTGGAGCGTTAAAGATCCAATCATTGTACGCAGTACTGGCATATGGCTCGGTTTCTCTTTGATTAATCAGAAACCTCCTTTGCTGTTTTTGAGAAATTAATGCTACTGTGGAACATATATCCCGATATTTCAATCTGGGAAGGTCTAATATAGATCACTCCATTTATTTGCATGTTTGAGTTGTACCAGAAATAAGAACGTGGAATTGTGTGTGTGTTTGAAGCTTTGGTTATTTCTTTTTTTGGTTGCTTTATTGTAGTATTCAAACGTTTTTCCTTCTTGAAATAGACAAAAAGCAAGAAACTTAAATATTTCTAATTGATAATCAATGACCGTCTCCTGCACCATTCATCTAATATTTGATTAAATCAATATTTTTATTATTATTCATCTATAATAATGTGTTGCATACAGGCAGCAAGAAACTTAGCAGAAAGTAGCAAAAATATTGATTTAATCAAATATTAGATGAATGGTGCAGGAGACGGTCATTGATTATTTAAAGCTAAAATTTAATCAGCTTACAGTTTTTTCCAAATTTATCTCTAAAATGTCCTGCATCATATGGGCTAGTGTTTGTAATTTGTGGTGATAGGCTTTAAAGTTTTTAAAGCCCTGCAATAAAAGGTCTGTTGTAGCACAGGCTACAAAAATGCCAGTAAGATTAAAATAAAGAATAATTCAAAAGTAAGATGAAAAAAAGAATAATTCTCCTTTTCTTTATTGCAACAGAGCAGGTTCATGCTTCGGGCTGTCTTTCTTTTGTGCTTTAGAGACAATGTGTGCTTTTTGTTTATCTTCCCTCCTTGTTTAATGGAGGCTGTGGGACTCAAATGTAATGTGTGATTTTATTAATAATATTTGCTTTCTTCTGCTAAGAACAAATAAAAATGAGGCTTAAATTACACAGGCTTCTCTTATAATTTGTCATAATTACAAGAACTTAGCTTATGATTTGAGAAATTACCCGACCTCCCTTAAAAATAAACATAACTTATACGGACCTCCTTCTATTAGTAAGTTAATGACGAATTTTGCTGATGTCATGTACTGAATAAATTAAAATTCTCATCTTACCCTTCGTCTATCTTACCTCTCTTTCACACATACAAATAGTATTATAGTCATTTACCTAACAATTTGACAGCATTTCAATAAATTAAACAAATGTGTTAGTGCATTTGACTATTCGTCACTAAGAAGAAACGCATTTGTTACGCATGTGTAGAACAGTTTCATTTTTAAGGGATGTCCCTGTAATTTACCCTTTAGTTTTTTAACCTTTTGGAACCCTTACTTTGGGAAAGTAACTTTTTGGAACTCACTCTTTAGTTGATAACTTTTAACTTTGGATTCCATAATGTACAACCACCGCATAAAATTGATCTTTATGTTAAGATCAAGTACATGGTGCATGAACAAAATCTTTTGTACAAAATATGTGTAAATGACATGTTCATCTCAATACTCCAGTCCTACAAAAAGTGTCCAACTTAAATTCTTGAGAATGGTTTTTAATATATATTTTTATTATAGTGGTAGATAATAAATTTTTAAATATATATATATTTTTTATGATGGGTTCACATATTTTTATAACTTAAGGTAAAGAGGATAAATTAAGAAATTATTTAAAAATAGTATATTAAAATTTGAATTGGGATAATTAAAAATGAAAAGGTGTGACACTTTTTGTGCAAGAGAGGGAGCAAATAAAATTTCTGTGGTGAGAATCTGTGTCCATTTTGAAAAAAAAAAAAAACAATCTTGTTCATGTTTCTATAAGCAAAAAATGCTAAAATTGTATTTGTATTATTATTTTTATTATTATTATCGATTAAGGTGTTTTTTGTTAATTTGAACACTTTAAGGTTTCGTTTATTTGAATGTAAAATATTTTTTTAAAAATATATATTTATTTTTTAGTGTTTGGTTGACGAAAATATTTACGAAAAAAAATAAATTAAAATTCAACAAAAATAATTTACTCATAAATTTTGGACAAATTATTTTACCCGTTGATAAACTTGACCTAAACTTTTAACAAACACCACAAAAATAAAAAAATTATAATTTACTTAAAACAATTTTATTTTTTTAAACAAATATTTTAGGAATAAATAAAGGGAGCAGAAAACGAGAAAGACCCCTCCCCTTTGGGCATGCACTTGTGATAAAGAGATATTGCGAATCTCGGTATTGTTCCCCAAACAAGGAATATGGGAAAGACACTACGAGAGATTCTGTATAAAGAAGTCCTTCAATGAGACAATTAGGTCAGTATCGATAAAAATTCCGTGTTTCCAAATGTGACCCCACAGGTGTCCTGTCACCATCACAATATCACCTGCCCAACCCCATTATTGAACTATTGAAAATAGAACAACTACTACTTTTCATTAAAAAGTTTAATAAAATATTATTTACGATATTCTTTTAAGAGACCCACAGAATGCCATAGTTAAATAGTTGGGGCCGCAAATTAATAGAGCTTTGTCTGTTGAATCCCGAAAGCTTAACTCAGATTCATCAGTGTAATGAGTTTAAAAAGTGAAGTTTATACTTAGACTCTATATTTAACGTGACTAGCTTAATAAAAATAGGTAATCTTGATATCATATTTGCGTTACTACTCGATTTGAGTTCATGTTGAAAAATATTTTTAATTTGTTCATAAATTAATACAATCATACGCATACCTATGATTATAAGCACACATAATCATACTTGTAAATATATTCACGGATACATACAGATCTAGTGTTTCATAGCATAACAATTTTTAAGATAAGTTTAAAAAATTGAGTTTGAACACAACTTATTACTTAACAAAAAAGTTCACGCTGAGTTTTAAATCAATCAATTATGTACTTATTTGCGAAAGGCTAAATTTATTTGCAACCATTCTATCAGTTACAGACACTTGCAATTAAATTTTAATATATAAAATAATATTACAACTTTTCAAAAAAATATCTTTTGAAATAATTAGATTTTAAAACGGTTTCTCCTAGTCAATTATGAATTTTTGGTTTTTTAAAAATAGAAAAATGAAATGTAAGTGGGAGTAAAGTGGGATGGGAACTTGACATTTTTTTTAATTTACAAAATTTTAGATGAATTTATAATACATTTTTTCAACATATAAGATAGTGACCGAATAAATTTATGCATGACACGTTCTTGAACAGTTCAAACTTCAAAGACCGCCTAATTCAACGTATCACTCATTTCTCTCGTTTAAAAAGAGTAAAAGTTCAGACAACATCGTATTTTTAATTATTTAATATTTATAAATACTATTATTAATTTATTACTACTATTTTAATGATCGACGACATAAGTACAAGATTCGAAGACGAAAAGTCATCTTTGCCCATTTAAACAATTCACCAGATTCCCATTCTGTCCCTCCCATCTCTCTCGTCGTTGTTCTCCTTTCTGACTCAGCACAGACTCTGCACAGAGAGAGAAAGTGAAAGCAGAAGAGAGAGAAAGAGAGAAGACGAGAGAGAAAACCTCTAGGTTTTTCATTTCCATGGAAAATCTCTCGCACTCTCCTCCCAAGAAAACTCACAATGCCAGCGGCTTCGCAACGAAGACCATCTACGACGACGTTTTCGGAGGTCCGCCGAGGTTCGGAGCCCCGACTCTCTCTCCTCGCGCCCAAGACTACACTGAGATTTTCGGGAGCTTTCACGTGTCTCGAGCTTCGTCTGTTCCGATTCTTGATCTTCCTGTGGTGGTTGAAACACCCGATGCTTCTTTTGATGTTCGGCGCTCCGACTATTCTGAAGTGTTTGGTGGTTTCAACGGTCTAGATTTCGCCCATTGTTACGAAGAATCGTGCAGCCAATTGAGCGGTGGAGATGATTCGTCCGAGGAAGCCTGGTATGATAGTTGTAGTGCCTCATTTATTCTTCCTAAATGTATAAAGAACGTTTTAGTTGTTATTTGGTTTGATCTCTTTTCATTTGTACAACAAAATGTACCGTTTTATTCATTTCTGTGATTTATTTATGTGTCATTGTTTGTGAGTTTTTAGAGAAATTGCCTAACGGGAATATAAGATTTGGACTTGAGTGAGAACAATGGGGTTTGGTTTTCTTTTAGCGGGGCATGTTGGTAACATGTTCAGTTACTAGGGTTGAGGTTTTATTATCCAAAGATAATTATTGCTAACAGAAATGGATAGTCATTCAATTCAGGTAGAGGGTGTATAATTGAAGAGAGGATTATGTTCCGTTTCCACAATTTCAAGTGGGAAAATAGGAGGCGAAGGGAAACCGGAATTGATGGAAGTGGTCCAAAAGAAGCTGGTTTGAGCTACTGGTCCAGTTTTATAACACTGTTTAGTGCTATAAAATTGAATTTATCTTGAATCACCAGAAATGGAGGTTGCATAATTTTATTCAAAAATCTCGCTAGATTGTAATTTGATAGTATTATGTTGTTTAGAACGGTGTAGTTTGTTAGGGTGAGTGGTTTAGTGGCTTGGCCAACTAGGGATTTCATCCTCCGTGACTCATAAATTTAATGCCCTAGGAGTTGAATTGTTGCTAACTAGGTTCTTTTTGGTCAGTGCCATGGTTAAGGATCAAAGTACCTCAAACTAGAGTAAACATTTCAAGAGACTGAAGTTTATGACTAATCATCTGCCATTATGTTTCCCAAGTTAACCATATAAGTATCGCATGGTCTAGATTTTTGGAGATAAAATAATTTTTAATTTTATTTCTCAGATGGTCTAATAATTTATAGTTAAAGAATTCTTGGTTTCTTATATATACGACATATCTCAAAATCCTTGTACACTATGTGCAATGAAAAACAGTTTCTAATGTAAGACTCATCCTTTCTGCGGATAACCATTAGTCAAAAGTTGTGAACTTAAAGCACTCGAGTTGTATGAATGAAACATTATGCAGTGTAATTTTTCCATGCAGTGAACTCCCTTTTGGGTGATGTCAGTTATATTATATAAATAATGGACTGGCTTTATTTTATGGAATTACTACATCAGACACTTATCTTCGAATCTGAAAAAGGACAAACAGATTTGTATATTTGCTTGTATCTGAGTTGGAGGTGAGCACTAGATTTAGAGTATTGGGAACTTCTATTTTGTTGTTTGTATGATGGATTTTGAAGTGTTCTATTTAGTATAGAATTACCTTAATTGTTGTTTAAGTTCCATGGCGAACATTTACGTAACTAGTAAATCCTGATGATTGGCTCAGAAAGAGATTTTTTTTTATAATTTTGTGTGCGTGTTTCAATTTCAGAATTTTCATTGCCACCTTTATTGTATTGTAGGCCTCTGTTTTTGTCTTATTGTAACAACTTTTGAGTTTCTTTTACACCTAAAGCTTGGAGGTTGGTGTTCATGCTTAACAAAACATTGCTCGAGACTTTCTGCTTAAAAAATGTTTCAGTATTGTCTTATACCGAATTCCCCTAGCTGTTTTTTGTTTTTCTTTTTAAAATTTTAATTTTCTTTGATTAGGAAGACTCTATTGTAACTTCCAAGTTTATTTTGCATGCTTGAAGGTATTTGTGTGTTGCCATTTGCTGCTATTGGCCATATAATGGCTTTTAACTTTGTTTATATCAGAGGGAACAAAGAGGGTTCTCAATGTTTCCTTTATGGCAAAGATAGAAATATGATCATGCAATTTCTTTCCATGTTTCCTGCTTATAGGACTCCAGCTCAAAGTGACTCTCTCTCAGATGAGTCGGATCCTTCTGCTTGTTTCGAAAATAATCAAAGCTTGTCGAATGGGGACTCTCACCAGGCATTTGATGAAATTAAGCAGTTCAACATATCATATTATAAGGCTAATCAAAGAAGCAAGGAAGATATGTCAAATGGGGCATTCCATGTAACTCAACTACATGCTGTCCCTAGCTATACTTCCGTAGTCGATGAAACTTTGCGAAAGACAGAAGATAAGAATCCACCTTTTCAGGTAACTGATGATTTAAACCTTATTAGCATGAATTGTAGTGCGGGGATAAGGGAAGGAAAACAATTCAGAAAAACTATGTCACACCCCCTAAACAGTAGTTTTGGCATACAGACATTTGGAAGTGATTGCAAACCTCTGAAAGGATATAGTAGAACTGATCCTCCTCCAAATGACAGATTTGTAACTATGTCTAATGTTAATCTCAAAACTCAGCCGTCTCAAGTGTCTCCACCCTTGAGGTCACCTCCTGCTTTAGCTGTCAAACAAGGGGATTCTGGTAGACAGAATTCAAGACTCAAAGCTTCCAAAAGTTATGCTTTTGAAAGGACGGCAGGAGACTGTTCTCCACCTTTCTTTGATGTGGAGGTAGACACAAATTCTTCTGCTGCAGCCTCTGCTGCGGCTATGAAAGATGCAATGGAAAAGGCTCAAGCAAAACTAAGAAATGCAAAAGAATTAATGGAGAGAAAGAAGGAGGGTCTTCAATGCCATGCAAAACTGGGTTTGAAGAATGATATAAAAGATGAGGGGAATCCAAGCAAAATTTTTAATGCATTGAACAGTTCTAAAGATGAGAGATTGCAGGGAACATGTAATAGAGAACACAGTGAAATGAAAGGCTTTGCTGGGGAGGGAAAGCAAGAAGTAATGAAGTCAACTCAGTTAGTTTCAGAGTCTACTGAAGGGGAAAGACATATAAAAGTAGCTAACAAATCTGCAAAGGAAAAGCATGGAAAGGAATATAAGTCTTCTCAAGCATCTCACAAAATTGAAAGAACTGTTGCATGGAGAGAAGAGACAGAATTTTATGAATTAGTTAAAACAGATAACTCACAAAAGGTCTTTAAACAGGCAAAGGATGAAAAGATTTTGTTACAAAGTGCACAGTTCCATGAGCGTGGACAGGAGAAAAGAGCAGCATTTGACCTGCAAGAAGAGTACAGTAGGAAAGGAAAAGCAGCTAGTGAGGGAAATGAATGGGGAAAAAGTAAGAGCAAATTAGAAGTGGCTGAAGGGGCTTGTGAATGGGAGGAAAGCAAGGGGTTACCAAAAGTAACTAAAGTGTCACACAAGCAAGAGGAACATGGGAAGAAAGTACAAGTGGCTCAAGAGGCTTATGAACAGGAAGAGGAAGTGAATAAACTAAGAGTTTCCCAACGACATCAAGGCATTGAGATGATACTAACTGAAGCTGATGAATGCGGAGAGAGTGAGAACCCCTTAGAAGTGGAACAGAAAGAGAATGAAGTGGAAATAGTACAGAAATTAAAAAAGACTAATGAAAGTGTAGAAAATGAGAAAACTCTTAAGGATGCTCTTGGAAGGGAAGAAAATGACAAGAAACTCGAAGAAATTCTTGAGGGGAAAAATAATGATAAGAGACTTAAAGAGGCTATTGAACTAGAAGAAAATGGAAAAAGACTAATGGAAGTCCTAGAGCGTAAAGAAAAAGAAAAGCAACAAAAAGAGGCTCGTGAAAGAGGAAAAAATGAGAAGAGACAGGAAGAGGCTTTTGAAAGAGAGGAGAATGAGAATAGATTGGAAAAAGCTCTTGAGGGGAAATTGAGTGAGAAAAGACTTAAAATGGCTCTTGAACAGGTTGAGATTGATAAAAGGGAAAAACTGGCTCGTGAAAGAGAAACAAATGAGAAAAGGTTAGTGAAGGCTCTTAAGAGGGAGGAGAATGAGAAGAAACTGAAAGATGCTCTTGAGCAGGAAGAGTGTGCGAAGAAACAAAAAGAGGCTCATGAAAGAGAGAAAAATGAGGAGGGACTAAATGAGGCCCGTGAAAGAGAAGAGAAGGAGAAGAGACTTGAAGAGGCTTGGGTGCAAGAAGAGAATAAAAAAAGATTGCAAGAGGATCATGAAAGAGAAGAAAGTGAAAGGAGATCAAAGGAGGCTTTCAAGCAGGGAAAATTTGAGAAAAAGTCAGAAAGGGCAAGCAAGCGGGAAGAAACTGAGATCTTGATGAGTGATGCTGGTAATTGGGTAGAACTGAAGGGACAAAGCAAAAATCACGACCAATCCGAGAAACTAAAACTGAATAAAAAAACAAGTGCCCTTATGGAGGGGAATTCTTTCAAAGCATTTGATGTGGCAAATAAGCTGGGTAACAATAAAAACCTACCAGCAACTCAAGTAGCCTGCAAACATGATAAAAGCAGTAAAAAATCGAAAGTGACCGAAGAGGATTTTCCTTGTAAAAAGGGTAAATTGGTGCAGATTGAACCCCAAAATAGTGAAGGGGAATCCCAAGCAGTTGAAATGGAGAATGGTCTGATTGATGAAAGGTTCAACTCATATTGCATGGATCATGATGACTTGCAACATAAGAAGAACCAAATCAGAACAGATAATGCTACAGAGTCACTTCATTTGCACGACAGTGTGACGAAATCAGGTGAAGGTGGCATTAGTGTTGGACAGACATACATTGAGAGAAATAAGGAAGCTTCCAAACTGGCCTCAAATCCTGGGAATCGGAATATGCTCACTCATGAACGAGGAGACAGGGGAGCTCATATTAAGGATGCTCAAGTTGCCTTTGACCAAGAAGAAAGCAAAGATAAGTTGATGCCACTGCAAGTGGACGGTGGGTTGGTTCAAAATGGAAGGAAAATGGGAACTGCTCCATCAGATGCATTGGGAGGAAATAGAATTGCACAGGAAGGAAGCACAAGCCAAAATACAGAAAGAAAAGAGAATAATCTTAATGAAGCCCTCACACCAGAAGAGAGAGAAGTACAAGAGAGGACGAAAAGGGAAAGGAAGCTGAAAAAGGATCAGCTAAGAAAGATAGAAGAAGAGAAAGAAAGAGAAAAGGATCGCCTAAGAAAGATAGAAGAAGAGAGGGAAAAAGAAAAAGATAGAATGATTGTTGAAAGGGCAACCCGTGAAGCTCGTGAAAGGGCATTTGCTGAAGCCCGTGAGAGGGCAGAAAGGACTTCCGTGGAGAGAGCAACTGCTGAAGTTCGACAGAGAGCGATGGCGGAGGCCCGAGAAAGATTAGAGAAAGTATGTGCAGAGGCTAGGGAGAGGTCGTCAGCTGAGAAAGCATCTATGGAGGCCAGGCTCAGGGCAGAGCGTGCTGCAGTAGAGAGAGCAACTGCAGAGGCTCGAGAACGTGCTTTTGAAAAAGCTATGGCTGAGAAGGCTACTTATGAGGCACGAGAACGGCTAGAAAAATCGATTGCTGAGAAATCCTCTGCTTCTTCCAGGGATGGTGGATTTAGACAGAGCTCTTCCTCCTCTGTGAGTATACCTTGCATTGCTGTCATTTATGACGTGCATGCCCAACAGCCTATTGACTATACAGTAAATCTGCAGGATCTTCAATTTCAGAGTGTGGGGTCTTTTAGCGGGTCAAGATATTCATATTCTTCAACTCAAGGTGGTATGTGATTTGTAAAACACCAGCATTAAGGTTCTATGCAATGTGTCTTTTTCATTAATTCTCTTTCTCATCAACCTTTGACATTGTTCTTCTTGGATGCTTTTATATCTTTCTATATGAAGTTTCCTATAATACTGATTACTGACTGATTAGGAGTTGAAGGTGAACCAGCTCAGAGGTGTAAAGCTAGGTTAGAGAGGCATCGCAGGACAGCTGAACGTGCAGTATGTGCTTTCTTTTCTATTTTTCTTTCTCCTTTTTGTTAATTTGGGATTTATTACCCCTATAAGTATGTTCTCAAACTTTTCCTGTCACTTCTTCAGGCAAAAGCTTTAGCAGAGAAGAATATGCGTGATCTTCTTGCTCAAAGAGAGCAAGCAGAAAGAAATGTAAACATCTTCTTCCCAGTGAAGTTTGTTTTCAGAATTATTCACTAGCTTTTCGTTTTTCTATCTTACGTCGAAATTGTTTGCAGAGATTAGCTGAAACTCTGGGTGCTGAAGTCAAGAGATGGTCAAATGGGAAAGAAGGGAACTTGCGTGCATTGCTTTCGACACTCCAATATGTATGCATTATCATTTTTAATCCTTTTAAGGTTAAACTTGAATTAGGGGTTCCCTTGGCAATTTTGTAGAGCATTTAGTCCACGCTGAACTATTTAAATGTTTTCCGTTTTGACCTGAACTTGCATAAAACATTAAATTTCAGACAGAAGTGTTTGCCTCAACTTGCATAAATGGTAGATGCACGTGTGTGTGTGCAAAAAGGAGGCTTGTAGAAATAAAATTGGACTGATTGATTTGTTGGATCATCTGAAAGTCGCAATTTTCCTGGTTGATTACTAGTATCCCGTTACTAGGGTTATTTATTTGGCTTGACGTTTTGGCTCAATCTGACTGGAATCCTACATATTTGGTTATCGTATATTCTAGATTGCGAGGGTTTCTATTCAGATGCGCACTATGGATATTTTTATAAAGAAATTATAGGAAAAAAATGGCGTTGCTCTCCTTCATGCATTGTGGCATCTGCATTGTACTACTGGCTATGGAGTGAGGATTTTACTGATGATGCAGAATTTTTTTGCATACCCTAGCCAACCCCACTCCCTCCCTCCAGGTTTTCCTTTTTAATAGGAAAAAAAGAAAATAAAAAAAATACTCAATTCAATTTTTATTCTTTTGGGTCAAAGAGTATGGTCTTAGCGAGATTGATTTATACATTCTTATATGTTGATTATTACTTCTGAATTGTGGTTTTCCTGTTATATGCCTAGAGCTGCAATCACTATTTCTCCTGTTTTTTCCTTTTGTTATCTCATATTTGCAGTTCATATCAGATGATTGTCATAGTTAAATGTAAGAGTATTGATCCTTCTAAATAGATGATTTCCGTCAGCTCAAGCTCTAAACCATATTTTCTTCATGGCAGATTCTTGGACCTGATAGCGGTTGGCAGCCAGTTCCCTTAACTGAAGTCATTACTGCTGCTGCTGTAAAGAAAGCTTACAGGAAAGCCACTCTCTGTGTTCACCCCGACAAATTACAGCAACGAGGTGCAAGTATTCAGCAGAAGTACATATGTGAAAAGGTTTTTGATCTTCTTAAGGTGTGGTACTGGCTTCCCTTTTCCTTTAGTCATTTGATTCATAAGTATGTGCATCCTAAAATTTAAAACTCCAGCCATGCTATAGAAAGCTAAATTGATAAATTCAGAATGTCCATGAAATGCAATTCTTGCTTTTGAATTTATAACTATAAAAATATTAATGTTGAGCTTGTGAATTTAGGGTGGCAAATCGTGCTAAGGGGTCGTGTTTGTGTCATGTGGAGACAAATTTATTTTGTTATACTTGTCAATCCAAACACTACCCATTTATTAATCGTGTCAGAATCCTTTACACAAATATGACCCATTTATTAAACAGATAACATGATACGATATGTGTTATTTTTTTAATATTAAATGGCTGTGTACCTATGATACGAGACAAACCGTTTAATATCCTGTTTAACATTTTTTTAATTATAAAATAAAAATATAACAAAAAATTAAAAAATTTGAATGAAAGTTTAGTGACCATTTCATCCTAATAAATAACAGATCAGTTAATTAGGTTGAGTGTATAAATCTAAGCACGATCTTTTGTCTTGTCTTCTCAATATAGCATTCTTGTAGAGTTTGCTTATAGAACTTTTTAAACATTTTAAGATGACGAGTATGGATAATTAAGTCATTTAGTTTGAAAGAAGAGCAATTTCGGCATTTAGAGAAAATTATTTAATGGACTAACAAACCTTTAAGGGTAGTGGGGAATCTGTATTTTGGTTATATCTTGTGGGAAGGTTGATTATAATTTTTTTCTAAAGTTCTATATGTGGTGACAAGTTAAAGGCTAAGGTGAGGTCAAGGTAATTCACCAAAATTATTTATACATTCAATATGTATTTAATAATAATGGACGTCGTACTTTAAGTTACTCAGTGTTTTTATGTTCATAAACTTGTGTTATATGACAAGCTATTCAAGTAAAGAGGTGCGACAAATATTGGAAATGTAGTGGAAGGAGAATTCATCTGAAGAAATGTCTCATACACATCAAATCTAGTTTTGTTATCAATATTTGAATTTTCAGAATGATTCTTACTGGAAGTAATCTTTTTTCAATCATTATGTTGCCGGAATAAAGACTTTAAGTGAATTTCTGGAAAAAAATAAAGACTTTCAAGTGTTCCAATACTACAAATATTGATCTGGACAACCCCTTTATTGGTTATGTTTATATGAGTGACCTTTTAGTGCTAAGATGATGTTGTCCCTTTTAACCCTCAATCCAGCATAAATATGCAGTGAAAATAATTTGCCTTTTTAGTGCCCTCTGCTTGGAGCATGCGGGTTCTCCAGTGTTCCTTTATGATAGATAATAAGATTTTCTTGTCTATGAAAGAAAGGGTGTGGTGGGATCAGTATTTTACTTAGGAGGGGATGGGAGAGCCTTGTTTATCATCATTTTTTTTTTTTTTTTTTTACTCTTTTGGTAATCAAACATCTAGGCTCTGTTTGTTTGGACGTAAAATATTTTTCAGAAAATATATATTTTTTATTTTCTGGTGTTTGGTTGTCGTAAAATATTTACAAAGAAATTTTTTTTTTTAAATTTAACAAAAATAATTTATTCATCAATTTTTGGCAAGTTATTTTACATACGCCGCCTGATGGACTTGACCTCAACTTCGACGTAGACCTTTGCCAAATACCGACAAAGTAAAAATAAAAGAATATTTTACCTGAAAAAGAAAAATATTTTCCAAAAAGAGTATTTTACTTTGAAACAAACGGAATGTGCTTTTAAGGAACCAGACAATTGAAGAAAGCACCTTCATTTCCTCCCATTGAGGAAAAGGAGAAGTTTCTACAGAAATAATGATTTGTAGTGTTTTGGTTTTATGCCTCTTTTCATTTCCTTCATCATTTCTTGGTTATATATATGTATATATTGCAATAGGACTGTTCACCAGCTCACTGGTTTGTAAGGAATTTATGCACGAATTAATCTTAGCTATTAGATATAAAAAGCATAAACTACTTTTTTAACTGCCCAATGGAATTTGACGGTTAATAGTTAAGGTGTACATACATTTTCCTGCACACGAGGGAGTAAGTGAACAATTCTGCATATGGCAGCAGGCATCAACAAGCATTTGCCTGATAATTCTTATTATTACTCCTTTTGATATCCTTTCTGATATCCTTGCAGGATGCTTGGAACAAATTCAACTCAGTGGAGTGGTAGAAGCCTTTATATGTGTACCAGCCTTCTGTAATTTATATGGCTAGCAAGTAAATATCTTTCTATCTTTCAGAGATTTTTAGTTATCTATGTAGTTTTAAATGTAAGCTTGAGCTTGAGCTTAACAGAAGATTGGCAGGAAAGAAGAAAGAGGATATTTTCCTTTATTCATTCTCCCATGATATAACAGGGGAAACAAAATTAAGTCATTCATGTTTTATGAGTAGGGCTGCATTTGGTTGGCAGACATGGAGGTCTGAATGGAAAGTCCCATTATATTTGCTGATGCCATTCCTTTATATTCGAGATTTTTCATTTCCACCTGTGGTAACATCATTTTCAATTTCTATGGGATTTGATTCACTGAATAAAGCTAAGTGCATGGAGGAAATAATTGAGTGCATGATTATTCTACTAGCAAGAAAGAAAAAGAGAGGAAAAAAAACAGAATTTTTTTAAATTTTTAACAGTTTGGTTAGCGTATTTTTAGGAAAGTAATTTCCTGAAAATGTTTCCTCCAAAAAAACACGGGCGCGAAAGTTGTATAATTATATTTTGACTCCTTATTATGCTCTTATTAATTGTTTATTCATTTATCTTTTTGTTCATCTATATTAGAATTCTGTTATTCGGTTACAATTTTATGATTCTTAAAATTAGGAGTCTTCTCCACACTCACAAAAGAAGTGAACTAATCTAATATACAGTCCTAATATATATTGCAGCCTTAAAATAAAAATAAAAAATAAAAAAAAATTAAAAAACTATTCAACTACCAAATTTGTATTTGGACATTTATATATAGATATATATTTTATTCATAACCAATCGTATATATATATTTTTATGCTATTTATATTAAATTAGTAAGGGTAGTTTTGGTATATAAAATTATTTTCTTTTCACTTTCTTGCTATCCAAACTAATGAAACAATATTTTCTCACAATTTTCTTTTAAAAAAATTCATGCTAACCAAATGCATAATAGAAATTAAATTTTCTTTTCATTTACTTCACTTTCTTTTCCTTTCAATAAACAGACCCTTCTTACTTGGAAGTCACACATCAATTAAAATAGCATCTCCTCGCGGAGAAGTACTATTTTCTTTTTAATTTAAGAAAGACTAATTCCTTTGTATAAATAACAAGGACATCTCCTATGGTTTTAAAAATAAAATCAGCTAACTTTATTAGTGTTGATTTTGACCTGAATATGTTAAATGATTATTATACCCATTGTATTTTTATTTGTTTAATTATGGATAAAATAGCATTTTCGAGCATTCTAAAGACATTTTCGGTTTTTGAGTAAATTTTGAGAAGAATATGAGTAGACAAGAGTGTCAAATTTTATAAGAAGAGAAGATAGTGTTATTTAGATCTAAACAACAAATCAATGTTATATTTAAAATTAGAGGTCAATTAAAGAATTACTAAATGTACTTATGTTTTAGATAATTAAAAATATAATTTTAACAATGATAATTATAATAAAAACAAATTACTTGTGTGGATTTGGCATAAGCCAATGGTCCTTTAATTTCAAAATTTAGTTGGAATTTTAGTCTAATTTCAAAATTTAATCGACTAATTTGATGCCCGCAAACATAAAAACACTGGATTTCATATGCATTATTACTTATTTTAAATACTCATATAGTCACGTTCAGATACGAATCCGATATTGTAATTTGAATTGGTAAGTAGGAGTATAGAGTAATATTTTGAATGTTCTACTTTTAAGATTTACATTAGAGAGAATTTCGACTTTTCGAATACCAAGTTACCAACCCCTTAACATGGATTTAGTTGGTGACTTTGACCGGACAAACACCCTTTTTCTTGGACAAGAAGCCTAAAAGCCTGTATAAAGTCGATACTACCCTTCCTCAGATCTCACACTTCATAATTGCTCGTAGGCTGAAACAGACCTTTCCCAGAGCTATTTAATAATACTCACCAAGAAATAATTCAAACTTTTTGCGGTTCGATACCACGAAGAGCTTCGTACCCTTTCCAAGGATTGAGGAGAAGAAGTGAATCCGTTATCGTGTTGCGCACTGACGATGAGCATTGATCATATTCATATGACGATGCATTTCTGATCCCTACTCATTCTAGGGTTTCCACACTCACCTTCTTCACATCCTAAGGTAAACTAATTCATTCACATATATATATACACACACACATACACGGTATATATTATGTTTATATCTATATGTATCATAAGTTAGACCTTCCCATGTAAAATCAATATACCAGTTTTTTTTTTTCTGCGTACTTTTCTTGGGTTTTGAAGGATTAACTTTGAGCAAGTCTGTTCGAGAAGCTGAGAATATTTTGATTTAATTTGTTTTTTGTTATATATATACATATATATTACCGAGGTTTTCTAGGGTTTTTGAATATGGATCGAGATTTTCCCAAGGTCGGATTAGGGTTTCGATAATTTGACGCTTTTGTTTTTCTCTGTGTTCTTTGCTTTAAAATTTACATGTTGTTTGGTTGATACAAAAGGGTGCTCGTCCAATGATGCGTGAAAATTTTGAGCCTGATCACAGGTGCTTTAAATTGGTTTAGATTTCTTGACGATTCAGAGTCATGCCGACCTACACAGCAATAGCTTTGGACAGGTTATTTGAACCAGGGGCTTCAAAATCCATCCAAGCAGCAAAGAATGCTCCTCATTCGAAACTCGAGAGGAGAAACAATGCTCCTAATTTGAATCCGGAGAACAGAATGAGTGCTCCTAACTCGACATTGGAGAGGAGAAACAGTACATCAATGGTGACAACGATAAATCACAAACACCACTGGGCTCGGATGTCACCAGCACTCTATGCCACTCCCGAGCCAACACCGCTTCCGGATTCTCCAACTTCATTCCCTCCGTCTCCTTACATCATCAATCACAAACGACGTGGGCCACGCCTTCTCAAGAGTTTCTCTGAAGTTGGTGTTGCTACTTGCAAACAAGCTGTAGATGAAAGGGATGTAAGTGAGAAAGTAAATAATCCTGAAAAGGAGGTTGCTGACAAGACCAAGGATGTTACTTTTACTGTTGCTGTTCCTAGTCCTGTTGAGGAGGAGCATGTGAATGGTAGTTATGATGGGGTACTTGGAAGAAGTGATTTGGCATTGACGAGTGCCAAGAGCAACACAGAGGCTGAGAGTAATAATGGGGTGGGAGTGGAACAGTCTTTAAATCTTACGCCACCAATTCCGGAGTTTTTTGATGCTTGGGAAGGTACCTGCACTTTGCTTCTGTCATTTAGATGGTTTTATCTGTATTTGCTTAAGCCATTGTCTATAGCATCTGAATACTTGACAATGTGATTAGATGTCCCTGTTCATATGTTAGCATACTTGCATATGTTAATGTGTTATCTTCTTGTTTTCTTTATCACATATAAAGTAGGAAGTATTGCATTGTAATTGGATGTGTTTACAATTCTTACAGAACCCTTTAACCCCACTTCATTAGTAAAATATTATTCTCTAAAACTTGTATAATTTTGGCTTCAACATTTCCATGAAACCACCTTATTTGTTATATATTTCCAGTAACATCACAATCATATTATTGTTACTGCTTTCCAATCTTGGTAGGCTTACTTGTATTTCTTACTTGTTTGTAGAATTGTCTTCTGAGAATGGGCCGCAGGCTTCCCTGCCTGATGTTGAAGAGGAATTGCGGGAAATAAGATTGAGTTTAGTGCTGGAGATAGAGAAGCGGAAGCAAGCAGAAGAAACCTTGAAATATATGCAAAGCCGGTGGCTGAGGATTCGGGAACAGTTGTCTCTTGTAGGGTTGACACTTGCAGATCCCATTGATGTAGTGGAGAATGAAAAACTGCAGGTTGATCCTGCAGAAGATCTGTCCCAACAAGTTCATATTGCCCGGTTTGTCTCAAATATCATTGGGAGAGGAACCGCAAAGGCTGAGGTTGAGATGGAGATGGAAGCTCACATAGAGTCTAAGAACTTTGAGATTGCTCGGCTATGGGACAGGTTGCATTATTATGAGGCTGTGAATCAGGAGATGTCTCATAGGAACCAAGAATCCATAGGTGAGATTTCTTTACCTTTTTACTTTTACGCTGAGCGTGATTTAACTTGCCCACCAAAAATGGATGTGTTTTCTTTTAGTTTCCTGTATGTGTTGCTCTTTTATGACTTGAAATTGTGGATAAATATGATACTAAGAAATATATTATCACGTTTGTGTTCTGTTTATCATTATGCACATAATAGAAGTAGGAACCAAAACAACAAACTTGATATAGTACGCTGGTCCATGACTTAGTTAACATAGTGATCCTCATGGGATTAAGTTCCAACTCTTACAAAACTTCAGAATGTTTTATAAATGAAGTAATGATTTCCAGTATGACATATGAATGAGGTGGACAAGAATTAGATGCATCTAGACCACCAAAAACCTAGTCAAACTCAAGGAATGTGTGATATAAGTTGACCAAAGCCAAACTGTGCTCTTAAGACTTGGGCAATCTTGGAAAGGTTACAGTATGTCTGGCTTGCTATGGTGGAGCTGTGATTCTTCTGTTAAAACTAGGTATGGTATCTTTGTGTTGATTTTATGCTACTTCTAGGCTGGGTCTATTGGTCTTTTTGCATGTATGTGTGGCAAGCAGCAGCCTTGGTGTCCGATATGTTGGGCTTGAAAGATACTGGAATATCGTTAGACAACTCCCAAAATTCTTGTCCATCTTTCTATTTTGAGATGTCCCAAAATACATGTCCCATTCCAAAAATGGATGTTCTATTTTTTATAACATTCCCAAACTATCATTTTGACTAAACAAGTGCACTAATTACGGAGTACTATTTTGACTTTTAACAAAGATAAATTTGTAAATTCACTCTTGTCAATACAATAGAAAAGAAGTAAAAATCACTACAATAAAAGGTTCGATTCCCCAAACAGCTCAATAATTTTGAGACACAGGAAGTGTATATATATATATATATATATATTACAAATGCGTTTAAGAAAAAATATAAGAAAAAATTAAGATATATAGTCAGCATTTGACAAAGTTACAAAAAGCAGCCTCTATGTAAGGTACATTTTTCTCTTCTTATTGTTCAAATGTATAAAGCCCATCTTTAAGTAGATAAAGAGGCTTTGAATTTTGTAATATTGGCATATCAGAATTTGGCCCTTTTTTTTTATCATTAAATTTCCAACCATCATACTTGTGTCCATGAAGGGTGACTATAATCTAGATATATCATAATACTTGGAATAGGGTCGTCACAGATTTGGTGATCATAACCTTTTGTTAGTTTTATCTTTGGTAGATCCTTGATATATGTTACTATGAATTTGTGATTTTGCATGACTGCATATATTAAGAGTTGGGTTAAACTTACTCCTGTTGTTGAAAATATACCTTTATAAGCTTATAGGGCTCATAGCTTCATAATTCAGAAAGCTGACTTGCTGATTTCTTTCATTTTGCTCTTCATACTTTTCAAGTCAATTGTATATGGATTAGGGATAGATGTCCAAACCAAAGCTCTTTACTCTAAAGCAGAAGTTAACTGAGATAAGGCTGCAACACGGGTGGGTTGGATCAGGCGGGTGTCAGTCTTGGACTCTTGGCTCAACCCGAGAACTGACCCTGCTCATCCAAGCTCTGTACAGTCCAACCCTCAGCTTGAGCTACTACGTCTGGCTGGGCACAAAGTAATTAGACACGTTTGGTTGCTCTCAAGCGGGGTTGAACGGATTGGATCAAGCCCTGACATTCTTTTCATTTCCCCCTGGGCAGTTTTACTAAACAGTTGAGAGCAAGTGAATATAGGAACAATTGGAAAATGAAAATGGAACAAAACAAACATAATTGAAATTCAAGGATTGGTGAAAATTGACGATAAGAGTTTAAAATTGATTTGTGTGCATGTGTCTGCAGAATCAGCACTAGGTTTTGCTTCGAGGATTCTGGAGAATGGATTGTGGCAATGGAATTGGAAGAAAATGAGTCTCTGTGATTGGAACAATTATAGGTGAGACGATGGATAAGGTTGAGAGATAGGTTGAGCCGGAATAGTAGGGTTTGTGGAGAAGTCATCATCTTTCTTATTTTTGCTTTTTTTTTTGTTGTGAGAAATCCGAGAGAGAGATTATCTTACCATAGATGATCCTAGAGTTGAGAGAATTGCATAAATTTATAGTATCATATATATATATATATATATATATATATAGATATACATAAATAGATCGGACCTAAGCTGACCAAATTAATGTAAAGTTGGGTTGAGTTTGAGTCGAGTTGAAGTGATGTGTGTGTGGCTGTGGCGTGCATCTTTTCTGTGTTTACTATAAATAGTTCTGATGTTTTCCTGCTATTTACTTTGTATAGAGATGACACGGCATCTGAGGCAACAAAGAAAGAAAAGGCAGAGGTGGGTGTGGGGTTCTGTTTCTGCTGCTATTACACTTGGCACGGCTACCTTAGCATGGTCTTCTTACCAATCAACTGTAAATGGATCATCTTCTTACCATGACCATGCAACCAAGTGATGACCTTCCAATCGAATTGCTAGCTGAATGTAATACTGCATAAGCAAGTAAACAAGAGGTCAGACATGCCATCTTGTGAATACCACCAATGTCGAGCTATTCTTTTTCTTCTTGTTGCATGGTTTCTGTGCCGTAGAGCCTCTATGCAATCAGATGATTGGGGAATAGGTAAATTACTTGGAAACATTCAAATCTGCTGGATGTTTCTTCAAGTAGTTACTGAACTAAGGAATAGATAAAATGTCCTGCTCGTGGAGAGGGCTTTTGGATTCAACTGATACGTCACTCGTTTGCATCTCTACTTTACGGTCCAACTGATGTGTCATGCCTCTCTGAGTAGTGCTATCTGGTCCAGAGCATCTTCAACTCAGCATGGGGTTATGCAACCAAAGATGATGACTCAAAAGAATCAACAGCTGGTAGGGTACGTCTATAATTACCTTTGCACAGCTTTAGCATGGGTGCTAATTTGAAATATTTATGATTCTGTATTTTTTAACCTTTTGAGTACAATTTACTTGAATTTTATTGTAGCTCAATTCCACCAGTCTAACAAAATTTAATTGAGGTGTTAATGTGTTGATTTCCCACCCACTTACTGGGTCACTGCTGGAATAAGATCAACCTTAAATCTGAAGGAATTTTTTTTTAATTGGCCTAAATCCTCTTATTTGAGAAAATGTTGGATTGTATGATGATATCCATCCGGTTGGTGAACCAATATAGCACTCGGGACAGGTACTAAAGGTCAAGTTAAATACTCCAAGATATATATATATATACATCTATTTCCGATGAAATGCAGATGTCTGCCTGACCCAGTTTGATTGTGTAGATTACTTATATGGGAGATATCAGATACGGTAATGGTGGCAAATGGCAATGGACCTGGCTGGCTGCCATTGTTTCTCTTCATAATACTGCTTGGTTTCAGGTGTCACGTCCTGGAAGAGACTTGGTGAAGAAAAGATGTTTGCAACGTAGAGGTTTATGGAGTACTCATCCCACTGCTTGCTTGCGGGAAGTAGTTTCTGATGCTTCTGATTCTTCACCTCTCCGATCAATCAGGCATTTATGGAGTACTGTTTGGTCTTGTTGCTGATACATGTCCTCTTGTGGGTTTATATAGCTAGGAAGAATAAAGGCGGAGAAGAGCATAGTCTAAAATAAGTTAAAAAACGTTTGAAAATAATGAAAAAATTATTGATTGGTAATAAGCCCCTATTGGCTTTTAATTGTTCCTTGGAGTTCAAATTTACTTCCATAAATCTCTATTTTGCGGCTGAGAATTTGCTGCTCAATTGATCCCCAACTTATAATGAGAATTTTCAAACCAGAGTAAAAATAATTTATATTATTAAAATGCAATTTGGGCAGTTAATCCAATCCTAATATGAGTTGATGCCAATTTTTTGAGAAGTGGTGTGGTGTGTTCAATCAAAATTTAAAGGTGTCAATAATCATTTGAGCCTAGGGGCACAAGAAACACATACGTTTGGTAACCGTGTTACCAACTCATTCTAATTCTGATGCCTCAAATCTCTCATTCATTTTCTCCCTCTGGATGTATTCATGTTCTCTCACGCCTGAAATAAATGGTTTCCTTATCAATATAACTCTATACACTTAAATCCCCAAAATCATAAAACACAAGACTTAGTAGACACAAGACTTTATCCACAAACTATATACATATATATATTTCCAAGACCAGAATGAAAGAAAAAGTTTAGAGAAGAGTTAGTAGACATTATTTTTTTAAAAGTTTTATTCAATTAGATGATGCTGTAACTAAGCCCTCAAATATGGTAGAATATAATGTTAGTAATTTAGAGAGATTTCAAATTATGAATTTTTTTTTAAAACTTTCTTTTATTCAAAATTTTAAGTAAAAATTGAAAGAAAAAAAAGAAAAAAGAAAAAACTCAAAAGTCAGAACAACTCATTATATTATTTTGTAGCCGCTACAATTATTTTGTCATTATCTACCATTGTGTAGTGGGCCTAGCGGCTACATTTATGTTATGTTATGCATGTAATAGCTAATTTATATGTTAGAAATATTGTTTGAAATCTGTTAAAATTTTTTGAAATTGAAAGCCTATTCTTTCGTAACACCAACACTTGGTCAATCCAAGAATGGAATATCTAATTGTGTTTGAGTAATTCTATAAAATGATTTACCTTTTATTATTGGTTTTATTTTACTTTTTTATGTCATGATTTCATCCATGTAATTGAACAAATCATTTGCATGTAAAAACTGTTATGTTTTCTTTGGTTTCTTACCATATACTTCCTCTACATGGTATGTAATTTTCTAGTGGTGGTGGAATCAAAACAATTTCCGAATAATAGGTGGTGGAATCAAAACAATATTTGATGAGATGATAAATGCATTTCTCTCAAACTAAATGACTTAAATGTCCATTATAATTAGATTCTTGTGAATTAAATAGAGGGCAGCGATGTCCTTTCACATTAAAAGCCGTTATATTTTAAGATTTTTAACTTGAATAAGTCAACTACAACAATTTCGTCTAAAAAAGATACTTTGGGGAATTTTTGTGTTCATGAAGTAAGTAAAAAAAAATAAAAAATCCATTTTTATTTCTATTTTGAAATGTTTAACTTTGGGGTATTTTCGTGTTCTCAAAGTAAGAAAAAAAAAATTCAGATTTGAAAAAGAAATTATGTTACTTTTTAATTGCCAATTTTAGTCCACTGAGGAAAAGATAAAAAATAGGACACTAAGAAAACATGATAAATTATTATAATGGCTGGTAAAATCAAGTGTTTTTGAGCTGTTTAATTTTTCCATTTTCTATTCCAACACCATGGTGGATTTTTTCTGTCCTGTGTGGTTGTACTCAATTTTATTTTATTAATTATATAGCTAAAATATAATTTTATTGACTTTTTTTTTTTTTTTTTTTGGGGAATTTTTCTTTGTTGCTTGACATACCTTGCTTAATGGAGAGAGAGAGAGAGAGAAGAGAAAAAAAATCTATTAAGGGATAATTTTTTTTAAAAAATTCTCTCAAATAATCACTTAAATGGACATTAGTTAAAAACACCTCTTAAAATAATAGAGGTGAGTTTTTTTACTAAAAATATTGATAAGAGAATTTTTCGCAACTATCTAATAATGGAGGATTTTTATTTTACAATTTGCCCAAAAATTTTAGATCAAGTGATATGTCCTAAGTTAGAATCTTACTCCCACGAGAATTAGTACGCACACGTTATTAATTTGACATTTCATAAGCATGCATATGAGATACTCCAATTAATTTATTAATTTTTTTATTTAGATTTATTTTTCCAAATTCTAATGTCAAGTAATGATTATAATGATAGTATTCTAAAAGATTAAGGATATGAAACAGTAAAAATTGAATTAATTTTATTTAAGTAGAGAGTAATGTCATAATATTAATGGTATCATAGTAATCAGCTCCACTTATATGTATAATATTAAAAATTAATAAAGAATAACTATATAAGAGGAATTTATAAATAAATAAATTATTAGTGGATTAAGAGATTTCCTATTTTATCCTATGCTTTTTTACTTCCAAACCAAGATACCATTAAGGTAACTTTTTACTTTACTTTCCTAAAATTATAGACTAACCGCCTTCGATTCCCTCTCTCTTATCCATCTGCGCCTAATCTGTCTCCTCTCTGCCAAATTAGTAGTAACCGCCTTCAATTCCCTCTCTCTCGCTTCTCCATCTGCGCCTAATCTGTCTCCTCTCTGCGAAATTAGTAGTAACCGCCTTCAATTCCCTAACCCTCTCTCCTCCATCTGCGCCTGACTCCTTTTTATTCGCTTGCTGAGCATGACTTCTTTGTCACAAATAGAAAGTCGAATCCATCGCATCAAATAGAAGGGACGAATCGTTTACTTATTCATTCATTGAGCACTGGCCTGATCCAGTTCCAAGAAACCAACCCTATAAGAGAAGGTATAGTTGGCTGTACTCATTCTTACCTCTTAGTGATCACTCATCAACCCCAAGCAGGAAAGGCCTTCTTTGTACGGCGAATCGCCAATAGAATTCAAATCTGACTGTGGTCCATACTTCGCATCCAAGGGGCACTCCTGCCCATAGAGCATCATCTTTCTCCCCCATCTGCGCCTGATCTCTCTCCTCCATCTCCGGCCCTCTTCTCTGCTATGGCCGCCACCACAAAAAAGCTCTATGTATGGGTTAACGGCTATGGTAATAACGGAGGTGATGATGGTAAGTATCTGCCTTGCATCAACGTCGAATTCAACTTCCGTGTGGAGCAGACTTATCAAAGCAGAACCAGAGGCCTCATCACCCGACACGGTATCGGAGAGATCTCATCACGACGTCCATACAAGTACTTCACCTATGATTTGCTCTACACAATGATCCATGGCATGAAAATCCCCTTCCCTTTAGAGAAGATGCTCTGTGAGCCAACTGAGTTGGAGAACACCAACGACCTAATCCTGCATGTTTTGGACGTGGCTAGTTGCACGGTCAATAGATTTTGCAACTCCGGTCAGAAGCTATTCAGATTGGACATATACATTGTTAATAGACTGATTTTACCCCATGCTGAATTTGAAGCAATAAACCTTGCAAAGGAGCAGGTAGAACGTTGGTTTCAACTTCATCAGAAGGTTAATCAGATGATACTGTCCAAATCATTTTCGGACTTTGGTTTGATCCACGGGGAAATAGGAAGAATAGTGAGGGAAACAGCTCATGATCAAGATTTGGAATTGTCATTGTTGGAACTAGCTATGAGGGAGTACTTTCAGGAGACAGTAGAGCCCGTGAGATTTGAAGGTGACATTGATGATCATGGTGAGGAGGAGGAGGAAGTACTCTGTGTTATATGTAAGGATGAAATCCTCGTTGGGTCTCGAGTCATTCGGATGGCATGCTCTCGTATCTACCATGTCCAGTGCATCGCAGAGTGGCTGCCATTGTGTCGCTTCAAGTCGTCAATCAACAAGTCTGAGGTATCTTAGTAGTTAGTGGTAGCATATATGGATTTCAGTATTTGTAATTAAACACAAGAACAGGGTGCTCTGTACATTCATAATTGTGAATTACTGACTTCAATGTAAAAGAATTAGTATAGTTTTGGTCAATATGGTTACGAGATTATGGATTGGATTCATTGTTTAATTTGCTCTCTTCAAATGGGCTTTTGGATCGTTTCTTTTTTCTGGCTTGCGTATGTATGGAATAGAAAGTGGTTCACTGTATTGCCATGGTTAAAAGTGTTTAATATGTTAACTATGTTGGAAGTTGTATATCTCACAAACTCAGTTATCAACAACAAAAAAAATCACACCTTTGTTTTTATTTAATTTGAATCATTTGTTCGTGGATATGAATTTGGCACAATTAATCCAAATTAAATCCACATTTCAATGCAACTTTAGGATCCCATAATTGGATTGTTAGAGAATGTTAGTGACATCCTTGATTGGATTTTATATAACGTAGCTAGCTAGTAGCTAGCTAAACCGATTTCTGATTAAATTGACTTATGGAATGCTCCACCTATAGAACTCAGAATTTCCTAGTATGAGAGTCATCTTAAGAATCTCACTCAACATACATTATCTCAGACAAAAGGTGCTTTCAATTTTTAATATGCCAAATCTTTTCTTAAGAGGAAAAATGTACGGATCTTTACTGCTAGGGATCATTTATGATCTTTAGAGGAGCTTCACACACATTTCAGCTTGAACTGTTACAATATTAATGGAACAATTAAATTCTGCAAACATGAAATTTTTAATCTTCTGAAAAGTGGTTCATTCTACTGCTATATATCGATCAGCCCTCATCAGAACTATTATAAAAAATGTTCCACTCGCAAAAGAATACCATAGATTAATCACACATGCAGGGGATGGGGGTACATGAGTATGCGCCTCACACAAGATATAGACTATTATCCAATTTGGTTAATTGCCAAAACTTTCCTACCAGTTAAAACTTAAAGGAGGCATTAGCAGGTTACCTCTGCTCTTCATTACTGATACTGTCTCTTACTTGTTACGCACATTGCTCTTGTAATTAGGAAGGGGGACTTTGCCTGACTCAATGCATTTGATGTCGCTTAGAAGCATCTCATATTGCATCGTTACTTCCTCCACACTTTTTCCACCAACGGCCTTGGCTATGTTGTGCCACCGGTCAGGGGTGTCCTTATCACATATTGCAAGAGCGTTCTCAAACAATTTATTCTGCTTGGGTGTCCAATTTGAGTTGGGAAATCCTGAAGGATGACTGGATGCCATTTTATAGCAGATTTATTAGAGCGAGTTTAGATGAGGAAAATGGTGGGAGCAAATTAAGAATTATAATGTCGATTATTTGCCGACAAATGAAAGGAAGTGAATGGAAAAGCCAACAGAAAGAGGTGTGGAAGGCTAGCTTTACTGAGTTTGAGCAAATGTAGAAGACTCTGGTGAAGGGATAATGAGTGAAGATATGTCCGTTTTAACAATTTCAATTCCAAGATTCGTTCATACTTATGGTAGGAGGGAACCTTAAGTTATTTAGGAATATTTAATCTTCTATTAGACACACATGATGCTGATGTATTGATTCAACAGTTTAACACACATATCCGTATTCATTGCATGTCATTTCTAACATGGATATGTCACCTAGTGGTGAAGTGCTCATGTAAAACATTTATTACTCAACTTCACAAAGACCTCAATTGTCGGTCTTAGCACCTTTGGCTTGAAGCCTTGAATTAATCACTCCTAATTAGTCTTGTCATCTATCTTCCACCTGACTATCATCCGAGCTGCCCTTAAACAGTAATCAGATGCTGATGGGTGAGGTGGGGTTGGGGTTGGCCTCAGGTCCTGATAGCTTGAAGGACCATCCATCTCAGTCAAATTTCTCTCTTCTTGTTCCAGATTGGTGCCACATTTAATTTTTCACAAATTTGTTCCTTTTTCCCTTTTTAGTTCTATCCTTGTCTTGGTACACAGTTTCAGTATTTGTCTATTGGTTTTGCTGAGTTATGGATATTTAGTTGACTTCCAGCTTTCTTTATCATTGAGTATGTCTTAAAACCATCTTGTATTATTAGAATCTATAACAAATCTTGTAATGAAGAATCCAGGAGATTTCACCAGATTTTTTTGTATCTGGATTTGATACTTTTTGAATGGATATGGCTTTCATCTAGAAGTGTTTATGTAACGCTTTTGCTGGCTTGCTTGGATGAAAATTTAGAAAGTTAAATATGTATTGTAATTTTCAATGTAATTGTAGCTTCTTGATGTTCAATTATCCCAAAATATTATGTCCTTTCATTTTTCAAGAAATCTGGTATTGGATTTTGCAGTTTCTCTATTTTGACTTGTAGAAAACTTTTATTAATTTCTGATTTCAACTTTTCACAGCTACAAAATAGGAAAAAGAGATTCTGGAACTTGCTTTATATTGCTCTGCTGGGAATGCTCATTGCCAGGATGGATGAGTATGCACATTTCGTCATTAGAAATTTGAATTACTTCATCTATCGATGCTTATTGTTCATTTTGTAGTCTAGGGTGCACCGTTATAATGTTTATGGCATCATATGAGAACTATCCTAGTGGTTATGCACTAAAAGATTTGCATCGGATGGGTGAGCTCTCTCTCTCTCTCTCACACACACACAAGCATCTTATGAGCCATTGTGTTCATTGCCACGAAGTAGACATTCTCTGTGTATTAAATGCTGATGTGTGTTTTTTGTCCTTTCCGAAAACCTGCTTGCTTAAGTGCACCTTTAATAACTATGCATTCGACCATGGAATTACATTTGAAGGCATGATACATACTTAGAAGAAGATCCTTCTATTGCACGATCTCCTTTGTTATCATAGCTTGAATGATGTACAAATGTGCAATTAAGGAATTAGTAGTAGATGAAAAATAATTTACAAATAATGAATTGCAATAGATGGAGAGAGGAAAGATTAAGATAAAAATAAATAAACCAAGGGGTTGGCCTAGTTGGAAAAGACTTGGGCCCTGGTGCCTCATGAAGCATCAGGTCTCAGGATCGATTCGAGTTAGCTGCAAACAATTCCTTGGAAGGGGGTGTGTGAGTACCAACTAGGGGGAAAAAAAAAAGGTTAAGATAAAAAGGTAATGGTATTCTCCCACTAGTGCTACTTCTAAGGTTTGCAAAGCTGACTACTCTGATTGAAACCAAATACAACTTTATATGTGTGTTGCTAGGTTTGAGCGAGCAAAAACAATTGAAAGGTTATTGGTATTTCAAAATCATGTGGTTATAAGGAGCTTTATATGTAAAATCTGTATAACATTGTCTCCAAGTAAAGCTTTAATAAGATAACTAAATGAACCTTAAAACATACTTAGTGAGACAAGTTGAAAGGTTTAATATATCCAGAGGTGAACTACTCAAAAGAAAGGGTCCTGCTAACTTCTCTCTCTCTCTCTCTCTCTCTCTCTATATATATATATATATATATATATATTTATATTGTTTATTCTTTCTGATATGTAAAGAAGATAATCGGAGCCGTCTAACAAACCATAATATTTGTCACCTAAAAATAGAAAGTATTGTGAAAGTTGGTGCGAGTCTTGGAGTAATATTTTACAGACTATTATACAACAAATATATTGTAAAGCAATTGACGTGCTTTACCATTCAGTATGTATGTAAAAGAAGCCGAGACAGTGTACATTCATCTAACTATTTGTCAATCTTGAATAGTTTTTTGAATCATCTACATTTTCAATATTAGCCAACTATTCAGATACAGAAATCATTTTTGTGTTTAAGTTGTTAGTTTGCATTTGCATTCAATTCTGGTTGTGTGAGTGTATTTGAATTGCATTATTCAGTGAAAATTGATATGATTGTTCTGGCAGGCTATGCCACAAACAATTCAAATGAACAGTGGGTCCACATAGACTCCTTCTCAGCGATGAATGGAATTTCTCTCTTTTGTGAAAATGATTTCCCATGGAGGTATACTTGATTCGACTTATTTGTATCGTCTCTTAAATTCCATGACGGTCTTTATCTATTTCAGTGACTGGTTTCTTAGGACAGTTTTATCTATATCAAAATAGTGGATCGTCCCTTGGGTGTAAGTACCAAGTCGTAAATAGTCATGGTGATATATTTATTTATCTTGGACGTTATACACGATTTGTTGGAAAAACTGAAAGATTTTTTTTTTTTTTTGATAAGTAGAAAAACTGAGAGATTTTACAGTTTATGTTGTAACATTTCCTCTGCAGGTGGAGTTGTTGGCTTGTTTTTGCATTCCCTTTGTCCCTAGATTTACTTGGGAGTTGTATGTTGTGTTTTGATCTTTGAAGTGTGCTCTGAGGAAAGACTGTTTCTTGTAACTTTTAGAGTCGTATATTATTTAGATTTGATGGCTGATTAAGTTGGTTTTACTTTTATAGGGTAAATGGTTTTGGTATCTCCTTCACAAAATGGATTTCCTAGTCATGTGAAAAAATAGATGCCCTTGGTTGTTATGTGCACTGCTCTTAGTACTTTATCCCATGAGATTTGAGCATGTCACGTGCACAAAATTTGAAACCAACTACTTATATATTCTGTAAAAGTATTGGAATGGGGCTCAATATAATTATGACAAGCTGTGTATGGTTGATATATTTAAAAAACACCATTCTCTTGGCATATTAAGTAAGAATTCTTTCAATTGAAGAGAATTTTTGTCCCTTGTCTCATTTTCCTTCTTCTTTTCTTCTCTCCTTCCTTCCTTTCACTTTATTCTTCAAATTGAGTTTGCTTTGCATGCTTTAGGTTGCAGCAGTTGTCATAATGTTCCTTTCGGAACACTTAACTGTCATCACTCACTCAAAGTAATCATTCCTTAAGAACTGGTCAAAAGCTACCTTGCATTGCTGTTGGTATGAGCGTTGGTATTTGACACGATGATTTAGTAACCTATAAAGTGAGACTTTTAAGGACACTACATTTTATAGAACTTTGTAGAACTCACCTATACTAAACATTTTAGATGCTGATATAAGGTTTGAGCACCAACCTACGATTGCAACAGTTTAGTATTATTTACCTGGAAAGTTTATGTTAGTACCCAGTCAATATTCTATGCAGGAACGTAATCACTGCTGTGGAATGTCAATATAGAATTTGTTGTATCAATCTCAAGCACTGTACATCATTATTTTACTCATTTCAAGTATTTGACGCTTTTTAATAGCAATCAACTATTTTGCCTATGGCAGTAAGGATGTAGGAAAACAGGTGACTGTCAATGTGCGTTGTTACTAATCAACTGAAATGCATTTTTTTTCAAGGTCAGATAAGGAATATTCATCAGTGTCACTCTTAACTAACGGAAAATAGAAATTCTCTAATTTTGGATGGGAACTAAAAGGCTTGGATTGTAATTTTTTTTCAATGTCAGATAAGAAATGAGGCTGACCAAAACCTACATATGTTTTTCTTATGTCTTTTTTCTCCTCTCTTTCTCCTCATGTTTTACTTTTCTAAAAATTAAAAACAAAAAAGAAAAAAGTGTAGTTTCTTCACCAGCCGCATCTTTAAGGAATCATTGTGAGGGCCAGGTTACATCCCTGTGACAGCTTATTGTGATCTGTCTTTTCATCAACCATCAATTCGACAGCTTCCAGAATGTAGCACATTAATAAGGAAGGAATTCAACAGTTTCAAATTCTTTTATGATCTGCAGTGCTTGTTTTTCAGTTCATGGTTATACTGTTTTGTAATGCAGGTATTCTAAAGAAGAAGACATGCATCTGGACGAATTTTGCCAAAGGAATTTCACCTATCTTCTGAAGTGAGTTTGTCATCATTCTATTTTATCTTTTTGTCTTAAAAATGTGTGCCAGAACATGATGCGTAAACAGATGTGATTTATGGAAAAAAATTTAGCTACGGCCATCTCAGGTATTTATTTTTTAAGATGTCGTCCCAACTCTGTAGTACACTGATGCAATTAGAGTGTAGCAAATAATATCCCTGTACATGAAAAAGGAAGGTATGTGTGGGCAAAAATGTTCAATTGTACTACAAAGATTCCATTTTTCTACATGGGCATTCCCCCTCCCTGTCAGCACACTTGAGTGTGCAAATGGAAACAGTGAGAGGAGAGTAGGCTGAATGCACATGACAAGGAGAGCAGGGCTATGTTAGTGAATAAGGTGCATGTAAGAAAAGGGTCACATATGGGTGATCTTGTAAGGGGTCGTTCAATACTTGGTGTATTGGAAAAAGTTTTAATTGTTGTATTGAAAGACGAGTTCAAGTTCAAAACTGGACAATTTCTGCAAAATAATGTCTAAGGTTAGGTTTATTTCCGGTGCAACCCTTCCAGCTCCGTACATAGGCGGAACCAACACTTGTAATGGACCTTCATTTGTTCTCTCTCTCTCTCTCTCGATTGGTTGTTCAGTGGATTGGAGGTGCCAAAGTATAACAGAGATGGATTATTGTTGCAAACGCATATTTGCAATTCTAGACTAATAAAAATTTGCAGACTTGAGATCGATTACCTTTTCCTTTTATTTTTTTACATACTAGTCTGAAATGTATCAGCAAATCTTGAATCTCTAATCTCATTTTTTTTTTTTCTTTCTTCTTTTGAATTGATTCCCAATATATATATTTTTCTTTGTATGATAGTGAGTACCCCAAAATGAATGGATTCAAGTGTTTATTTACTATAAACGAGTTCTCTAGAGCTCGTTTTCACAATGGCTTTCCACCCATTTTGCTGGTAAGTGGTCTTGCTTTATCTCAAAAATGTTATTTGCATAATACAGTTACTGCAAAACATTTGTCTATTCATTTACTGCAAAACATTTGTCTATTCATTTACTGCAGCTCAGAGAGCCCAAAGTATTTGTTCATGGAAATATTGCAAACACGGATGTTATGCATAGAAGTTGGCCAGGATGCTCTTGATTTATTGAGGATAGTATATAGTGTAAGAAATTGAAATGATCAATGAATTAGTATACAAATGATCAAAATTCCGACTCTCCAAAGTGCAGCACATCCTTCAATGGATATTGCCCCTAATTCTTATGGAAACTATATTTTTGTGAGAAATTTTCCCGTTTTGAGGTGTAAACATCAGGGTCCATCATATATGAGATTGACAACCCTTTTGAGCTTCATTGGTGTTAAATTATTGCATGAAAACATGTCAATAACTTGGTATATTTGGCTTGGGGTTTTGGGGTGGGTTACATTAAACTTGAAATGTCTCTGACAGATTGTAGTTGGAAGGTGTCTTGTCCCCATATGTCAAAGGTCTTTGTAATTTTTAAGAAAATGGTCACATAGAATTTTTTCTTTTTTCTCTATTTACAGTTTTACCGCTGTGAATGTTTATAATGAGTGTGAGTTCCTGAGTCCATTACATAAATTACATGCCCTTTAGGCTCTTACACCTTCGCGCGCGCGCACATGAATGCATTTTATTCTACTAAGAGAGTTCGTTTGATTTGCTAAAAAAAAAATAGATTATTCCTTGCGCATGCTGTGCTAAATTTGCACCTGAATTTACCTAAATGTGCCTTGCACTTCTCATTAATCTAGTTTTGGTCCCTCTTTAATCGTACCAGGCTCTGTTCATTGGGCCGAGTATATCGCTTGTTTTGTAACTATACACTTTTAACTTCCAAAAAATATTTATAAATGAAACAACCTATATTTATGCGGTTGCAAGTAAGCGGTGCAGTTGACAAAAAAGAGAGTTCTGTGATTCCATACATACAGATTCAAATGCTAACGTAACAAATATAAATAGCTGAATTAGACAGACGATTGACTTTGACAACAGTTTTTTGGGTTTTAGAAAATTAAAAACAGAAAACTCATACTTGATTCAGTTTTTTGAAAATTATTTTCTGAATTTTTTAAAACTGTTTTTTGAATTACAAACCAAATAGGCCTAAGATTTCTTGCAAGAAAACGCAGTATAGTTCTGGCATGTGACCAACTAGCAAGTTACTGTCCAATTCTCTAATTAATTAAGACATTTTAATTCAAACAGTAATTCATGTGAATTAAGTTCCCTCAACTAAATTTTCTCCTAACTAATTATTACAGCTTTCGGATTTGTTTCATATGGCAGAAAAACTGATCCGAGTAATGGTGTAATGGTGTAATCGACGTAGTTTCACCTCTTCCTTGACTGAAGGTTGAGAGTGGGTGTGTGTTTTTCCTACCAAAAAGAAAGAGACAGAACACTTGCTGTCAAATTCCCCACACCTAATAAGGACTAGATTTTCTTTATACTCCTCAATATTCATTAGTGACTACATAGAGGCTATTTTCTTCAAGAACTGCCCTAGCTGTTCTGCCCGACTGTCCTATAAGACTTTAGAAAGCCCCCACTTCCCTCCCTTTTAGCTACAATGATCATGATGCCATTTACAACTTTACTGTGGAAATCACCAAGGTTTTTTTCCACAGAGAGAGAGGGGGTACACCATCAGCTCATTGGCTCTTGAAACCAATACCAGAGCCAACATGATCAGCCATCTTTATGAATTGATCTAGCAGCCTTGAAAACTTCCCTAGAGATCTGTTTGCAATTGCTTACCATGAACAACCTAATATTAAAAAGATTTCCGATAAATCACCATTTGAATTTCCATCAAAGGATTTGATCTTGTCTAGTTTAATATAGTGTTAGTATTAATATTCTTAAATTCATTTACCCATAGAATAAGAACAAGGAGGAGATTCTTATGTTCCATATCTGTATAATTTTTTTGTATTGGGATTACTAAAGCTGGCATTCTTACCTTGTCAAAAGGAAATTGTTGCCATACTTAAGAAGGGCATTAGTCAGTGGATTCTCTCAAACTAATCTTTGTAAGAATCTAGCAGAGGAATACACAAAAAATCAGAATAGAAGTTAATTTTTTTGACATTTATAGCCTTGGAAAAATGGAATATATTCTTGTGGGAAGGGGTATCTGTATATCTTATATTTTTGCTGGTACTGGTTTTTATAAACTTGTATTTTAAAGTGCCTCAGTGCAGAAAAGTTTTGATATGATGCTTGTATTTCTTACGTTCTGCATAATATTGCTTAGCTGTTGTGTGCTCATTTTTGAAACCATAAGCTATATTCAAGGGCTAAAAATAAGTGCAGGAAAATAGAAAGAGGAGGGAAAAAAAGAAGTGAAATGAGATCCCTACTTAACAAGGCAGTAAAATTAAGATGGGGCAGCATTCTTTCCCATCTTGTTGTTGATGACTTTTGCTATAACTTCTCTATATATCTTAAGTAACCTTTAATTTCTTGTGGCAAATGTAGGATATGTGGCTGTACTTGGGAAGCCAAATGTTGGAAAGAGTACACTATCAAACCAAATGATAGGACAAAAGCTCTCAATTGTTACAGATAAACCTCAAACTATGAGGCATCGAATCCTTGGTATATGTTCTGGCCCAGAGTATCAGGTTTGAAAATTTCTATGTTTGATGTGATCATGCCTGATTTTACTTATATTGCACATACTTAATTCTCTTTGGTAGAAAAACTAAGCAGTAACATCTGAAGCAACCATTAAGGTGGACTCAATTGGTCAGGAACCACTCAGATCACCCTTGTGGACCTACAGGGGGAATGAGGGACATCAAATGATCAACTATTTTGCCTTGGAATCTTGGAAAATGAGCAATTGGATCAATGAAGCCATATTTGAGCAAAATTTGATGATGTTTTTTAAGTCAAGAGAGACTGTCATTAGGTTGGCAATGGAATACGTTGAAGCCAGTTGATCAGAGGGACGTGAAAGGTTCTGGAAAGAAAGGTTTATTGCTTGGAGCATATCACAATTGAATACGGGGAATGTGGTATGGACTCTTCCTTTAATACTGGGATGTGCGTGAAAATGTGCTTAGACAGCCATTGGCCTTTGAAGGGTTGAAGATGATGGAAGGGTGGGCCTCGAATAATGTTATTGTAGAAACAGATTGGTAGAGCACCCAATTTGGGACAAGCATGGATAAAACTCGTACTAGCTCTTCTACCAAAATTGATATAGGACACTAAGGACAGCATTGTAGAAGCTTCTTTAGGGCAGATTATAATTGATTCTCTTGCGCTTCAGGCTATTGGGTTTTTGTTTTTTAGCATCTGTATATAATGTGAGAAATGTTTATTGTCTTGGTGTTCTAAGAAGGAAAGGCAAAGTTCTGTTTTTTATAGTGGGGTTTTGTACTGTATTCAGTAACTAGGGGCTGTTTTTAGGGTTTTAAGTTTGAATGGTGAAATGGGGAAAGGGTTAGTGCTCATCAAATAATAAATTTAACAAATTAGGGTCTTAATGGCTTTAAAGTGCAGAAAATTTAAGAGAATAAGTAGAGTAGAAGGATAGGCAAATCACAACTAGATTTTCTAGGCATCATACTTTGGGTTAGAATTGCATCACACAGTCCCTGAGTTTCTCTGAGCTGAGCCCAATTGAATTTAAAGCATTTTAAAGCTATATACAAACTCTCAAGTAATCTAACTCTTAACATGACATGAACTGCATATTCAGATACTGAACAGTTTGACCAGAAAAACCTCGTATAAAGTCTGCTTATAAAGACTCAACAGCATAACCTGACTTAAACTTTGACTTGCAGACCTCTACTATGGCTAATGTCCAGAAAAACTTATAATTTACTAAGTAATCCTAAATCTTATATGGTTGTACTCTTTTTATTATGTTAGTCTCATAAAAGAAAACCAAGGAAAGAAATAAAAAGAAATTTTCGTATCTGATAGATTTGGTACATGTTTCATGCTTTTGAACACATGTTCCACAACATAGACCAAGAGTATATTTTTGTTTTCTCGTGGCTGTCTTATTTTGGTTTGCAAGGAGTGAAACATTTGTGCTTTGGAAACCTTTAGGCAGGTTCACTTTTTCCCTGACTGTCTCACTATTTACAGCTTGACCCGTGTATTGAGTTTTGCTGTTTATGAAAGGCCCCTATAAGCACGGACATGGGATACGGATACGACAAAATACAAACACAACAATATGACAATTTCTTAAAAAATTGGATATAGATATGACAAGGGCATGACATATATATATATTATAGATGCAAATATGTATAAAAATCAATATATATATATATATATATATAAGTGTCGATGGATAAATTTAAATAGTAATTTATTATGTAATATATATTGTTATTAACAATTCTTTATAAAATACTATGACCAACAAGATAGGAGTTGAGAGTTATGTTGCGTGGATAAAAATTTGGACTAAATTAGTCATGATATACATCTCAAATTCTCAACCATACTTCTTTTTTGAAGATGTTTTGAACTTTTCTTCACAATTATAATTTATACTATGATATTATTCTTGAAAAGTTACAGTTTAATGTGCAAAACTTGTTAAATATGTATTGTAAAGTATCTGAAAATTATCTGATACGTTATCAAATATCTGAGAAATATTGAATATGTTTTTTCTTTATAAGTAAGAAGTTATCAAAATATCTGAGAAGTATTGGATATGTGATGAAGGACAAGTAGGAACCAGATAGAAATAAAGGGATGAGAAAATAGAAGAAGAGATAAACTAGAAGAAGGGGATGAAAAAACAGACGAAGGGGGCTGAGAGCAGAGTGAATAGATAGGCAGGATAGACGGAATAGATGAGAAAAGCAGGAACATAAATGGGAGAAGTAAAAGAACACAGAGAGAACTCAGAGAAAGCAATAATCCAATAATGTTCCAAAACTGAGTTCTCAAATTACAAAGAAGCCTTTAAATAGGCAAATTATTAAGCAAATCCTAAAACATAAAAATACCATAATTCAAACATTATTAAAAGTAACAATAAGCATAAAAACCCTAAATTACTAAAATCCCTAATGTTATTTCTCTTTCCCTCTTCTCCAAAAGTAATGTTGAAGCATGTGCAACTCATGTATTTGAATCATATCATGTTCCCCATCAATATGTTTTAGAAAGAAAAAATAAATTTATAATTATAGATACATTTAGAAAGTATCGAACACATATCCGTAAGTATGATACGAGTACGTCACTCTTTTAGAAATTAGAAGTATCACAGAAAAGCCCCCTGCTGCCTCTCAGAGGTTCTGACTGTATTTTTCCATATGACTTTAATTTATAATTTTTCCTCGTGCTGTATCCCACTGCATACGTGTCATTGCCATTTATGATTTGAATTTTATGTCCCAAACATTGTTTACTTCCACAATTTGTTTTTGTGTGGATTTCCATGCAAGAAATATCTCATCATGCTATTTAAAATAATTTGTCTTAGCTGTGATTTACTTGTAGATGATTCTTTATGACACACCTGGAGTTATTGAGAAGAAATTGCACAAATTGGATTCTATGATGATGAACAATGTCCGTAGCGCTGCCATTAATGCAGATTGTGTTTTGGTGGTTGTTGATGCGTGTAAGGATCCCCAAAAGGTGCTTCTTCATCTGGAAAAATTGTTCTTAAAACATTGTCTCCCTTTCCTAAATATATTTGTCTGCTTTTAGATTGATGAAGTGTTGGAAGAGGGTGCGGGAAACCTCAAAGATAAGGTACCGAAATTACTGGTTTTGAATAAGAGGGACCTGATCAAACCTGGTGAAATGGCAAAGAAACTTGAGGTTAGAACTTGTCAGTATCTATTATTGTGTAGCCTGAATAGCTACACTTTTTTTTGTAGCTTGACGTATCATTGTTAATGTAACAAAAACAAAACAAAAAAACAAAAAAAACTGGTATATGGAATGTTATGTTTATAATCTCTAATTTATAGGTCCCAAATACTGTTCTCGTCATAACAGAAATCCATGGTCACTCTTCACTGGTGGCATAAGGTGGGTACTTAAGTTGTATCCTAATTCGACATTGTATATCTTGCAGTGGTACGAGAAATTCACCGTTGTTGATGAGGTCATACCAGTGAGTGCTAAATATGGTCATGGAGTGGATGATGTCAAGGACTGGATACTATCAAAACTTCCAGTTGGGCCAGCTTATTATCCGAAGGTATGTAACGAGTCCACTTTTATTCTTGTTGTCTTCCTTCTCCTTGAAAGATGAAGACTGGTAATCTTTTAAAAGCATGTTTTTCTAATTATCATAATTCCAGTGTAACCATTTACCAACTGTTGGAAATTAACAACTTGAACCCTTTGGTTGTTTGTATTCCATGATGCAAGGCACATTGCCTCCTCAAAAGTACATGATGAAAACGAAAAGTAAAATAAAAATTGAAAACTCAGAAGAGGGATAGAAAAGGAAGGAAGCAATTTGAACTTGTAGCATAAGAACTATGTCAATTTCTATATTGGTTGTTCATGACTGAAAGAAGCACACTATGTTAGTCTTAAACTTCTTCCATCTGATGAATATACAAAAATTTATAGATGTAGTCTTAAGTTTAGCTTCAAATTAGTGCCTGTGAGCCCTAAAAACAGATATGGTTAAGCATCTTTCATTTTACTCTTAAGACCGTGTGCCTTGAGAGGGGTTGAATGAGGTTGATAGCTGGCAGGATTTTTGGTGAAATTACTTGCATATATCTAAGATTAGTTGTTCAAATGCTGGCGTTTACAAGTCCTCGAATTAGTTTGATTAGATGTTACTTTGGAAGCTAAATCAAGATAAAAAGTGAAATTGAAGTGGCTACATGTTGCTTTGTAAAGCTCATAGATGACCTAGATTATCCCTGGAATTTCTATTGGCTACTTCGATTTGTAATCGAGTCACCCTCAGTTTGAGTCAGTGTTGAGAAATAATATATGACAAAGGAGTAAAACTGTACTTTCAGATTGGTATAGTAATAATGTAAATGGAGTGTCTCTCAGGTTTTGCTCCTTCCGTTTCCTTTCTCTTATTCCAGGCAGGATAGATACTTGATATGACAGAAGAGCAGATATCCAATTAGGCAAACACATTTTGTCCCCTCCTCTATTTTTCCTTTCTTCTTGACCCTTTTTTTGTCGTCATAACGTAAAAGGTCTGAGTTTTTGGGAAAAGAAGGGTTCTGAGTTTTGTAACAATCTGGGAATGATAGATACTGTACTCCAGCCTGAGTGAAAGTGTTGAGAAATGATATAAGGTAGAGGGATAAAATTGTAATTTCAGTTTGGTTTAGAAATGATATTGAGAGATTAGAGCAACCCTTGACAGGGATTATGCTCTCTCAGTTTTTCCTTTTTCTTCCTCTCTTGTATTAAGGTACCCAAGACACCTGATGGTTATATTAAGAAGTTTCACAGAGCACATAGAGAAATGTTAAAAAAAA